GAGCAAGGCAAGGGGGCTCAGCCCTCAGCAGGTGCAGGTGCCCGATCATACCTGTGATGCTGCTTTCCCTAGATGGGCTGAATTGGATCAGATCGATGGCTCGGCTAGGTATATGCTATCTGGACGATGGCACGTGGGCTTGAACTGAGTTCAGATCCATTATTTTTTGATTCAGAAACATACCTGGACATTTCAGGCATGACCAAAAAAGGGGAAACTGGGTGCACAACTGACCTGTGCTGAAATCAAACCTGGATTGGGCTACAATGCGGTGGTACAGTCCTTGGCATCTCCAGGTAGAACGGAGATTTCGGGGGAGAGGTGCTGGGAACTCGGATCCTTGAGAAATGCGAGGCTCAGAAAGTACCCAGTTCTGTTTCCTGACCCATGTCTGCGACAATCTTCTGTCCACATTCTGAGGTCAGTAACTTCCTAAAGCCTTTCTGTTCCTCAGTGGAGTTTGCATATTGGAAAATCCAAGCAGATTGTAGATTTGACACTCTCTCTGAGTTTCTGTATTTTTCTCCAGCTCAGTACTTCTGTGACAGCAACTGTGGTCTAATGGTTAAGAGTGTGGGACTAGGATTCAGGAGATCTGGTTCTAGTCTACACTCAGCCATAGAACTAACTGGGTGACTGGGCCAGTCACAGACCCTCAGCCCAATGTACCTCCCAGGGTGGTTGTTGTGTGGATAAGATTTGGAGGAGGAGGAGGAGGAGGATTCTGTAAGCCACCGTGAGTTCCTTGGAAGAGAAAAAGGCAGGTTATACATGTAATAAAGTAAATCATAAAGTTACTGACAGCCCACAACCGCTGAAGAAAAGAAAATTGATCATAAGCACTGTTTTTGGTGAAAAGTTGGGATGTGTCTCTAAAGAATATATTGGAAATGATGTTAAGTTGCAGTCTCTTCGTTGCACCTCCATGTCTCCATTTTCCACCTTATAGGAATACGTCTGGTCATACTCAGCCTTGCTTGAAGTACAAAGTGCATTTTATTCTGCCTTTGACAAGTTGTAAAGAGAGAGCGAGAAGGCAGGCTCGACAGGTAAACAACAGCAGCAAAGTCACAGTGATGCTTCTACAAGAGGAAGGAAAAGATAATGGCCAATTTGTCAGTAGGTGTTGACAAGAGAGATAAAGCTGAAAATAATTAACCGCCTGACATGCTTCTGGCCACCACTGGGAATGCGATGGCCGTTTATCACTTTTACAACACTGTGGTGATAGTTCTTGCTCCTGGAAAGAAGCCGCAGGCATTCTAATTCTCTCTCTCTCTCTCTCTAGAACAGCATCCGCTTATCTCACAAGTCCATCCCTGTCTTAGAGACAAGAGGGCCCCCACTTGCTGTTTCCTTGATAGCACTGGTGTCAACAAATAATTGGAGGGCAATGGAGGAAGCTTTGGCTGGCTGCAGAAAAGGGCACTCCTCTTCGCGGCGGCAAGGAGGATCTTAGTTCAGTGGGGCTTAAAGCACTATGATACCCTGCTTCCTGCACTTGAGCAAAGGCTGCCCCCGTAAGCCTCGGAATCTTTGGGGGAGAGTGTTTCACGCAAACTGCGGACCCCGGGATGCAAACTGAAATTCCTGCATCCCCACAGGAGGCCTCATTACAAGAACCCGACAGAATCTGTACAGTCTTCTTATGCAGAGTCCTGTTGAACCCGAGAAAAGACCCCAGCTAGTCCTGCACCATGTTTTTAGCGGTGTATTATTCAATGCACAATAGAGCACAGAAAGCACCTTTAGAATCTTCCCAGGCAGGATGAGCAAGTTAATACATTCTATCCAAAGGAAGATAAAGGACTGGGTTTCACTGATGATTAACAAAATGTTTTCCGAATAACAAATTTTGGCTATCCTGCAGCAAGGAGCAGACAGGTGTTTCTTGCGATTTATCATCCTGTGAAATAAATTAGGGTGAGATGAATCAATGAAGAACCTTCTCCACAAATGTGGAACCTCTGTGAATAGAGATTGTGTTAGTTTTGCCGTGATCCAAACCTCCTAGGATCAGCAGTTTCAGTTTCTCTGGGGCAAGCTGCTGAGCCAAATTGGAACTTACCCTCTCTAAACCAGTGTTGAGGTTAAGTGCTATTAGGTGTCAATGAATCAGAACTAAACTTAAGTCTAAAAAAGCCCACTACTTTAAATTTAACCCAAATACTTAGTGGTGCAACACACTTGTTCCGGGGCCTAGGAAACCTGGCTTATTCATTAGCCACTTTGTTGATTTAACCTGCCCTCTGATCCTCTGATGCCCACTCACTTGAGAGAAAGCCCCATTGAATTCAGTGGGACTTAGCTCTGAGCAGGTAGAGTATAGGTTACACTCTTAGGTTCTCTGCTGGTTTTGCTAATATAGATCGTAAAAATTAATAGTAGGCTAATGGCGTCTCTCTATGGTTGTCCCTGCTTGAATCTTTAAATCAAATGGTGGAACCTGGCATAAGTTCTGTGCCTGAATGTCTGGAAGTACAGGAAATGGCAATGGGAAGTTAATTACATACATATGAAAGAAAACAAAACAAAAGCCTGATGAATTAGTTAATAACTAGGTCCCTTTTTAAGAAGAAAATCACTTCCACATTTACAAAACTCTTGTGATAGTATTATCCCTGTAATCTTTCTTCTAACTGAGTTTCTTTACTATCTGAAGTATATTCACATTTTAAAATAAACTAGTAAATGGGATCTGGACCCAAATACGGACTGGCTCCCTTCTCTGATCAGGGGTATATACCAATTTGCCGGCTACGGTTCTGTTGCTTAGAGCCGGGGTCTTGTTTGTGCCCGTCTGTCATGCTCTGTCCCCCCACCCTTTCCTAGAATCCCTTGCTTCACTGATCTAAGCTTTTAAAAAACCTGTAAACCAAGAATGCATTGACCTTGAGAACAACCACCAAAAGAAACCACTTCCTCAATTATATTCCAAGAGCCACATATTCCAGCATTCTGTGCAAGAGGCTGCAGGTGCAGCTGGTGTCGTGTGGACCGCCAGATACTGACAAACCGAAATAGATGGAGGGGAATGGGTATTGCAGTGGTGGTCTTAGTAAGAGGGAGCTGCAGTCAAGAGTGACGGATGTGGGGCTGTTTGCCCCTTCTCTGAGGGGCGAGTTACTCAGAGCAGCAGATTGTATGGCTAGTGCTGGAAGAGACACTCGCTTAATATAAAATGTTTATTTCTTCCTCTGATCTTACAGGATTTATCTTCAGGGCACTGAACTCTCTCTAATTCTTAAAAGAGATTAATGGCATTTCTTAAAGGGTGGGTGTAGGAAGTTTGTTTCCCACCCAGCCAAGGAGGGCTGAAATGCTTGTGGCTTGTGATTTAATGGCCAAAAAGCGCTTGCATGCATGGCTGATCCGGAGAAGGAGCGAGTTGAGGGGAGGAAGTCCCAGCTTAATGGAGTGCAGCCTAGAGGGAATTAAATTGAAGACATGAAATAGACATATAAGCCTCGTTGAATTCCCTTGCTGGTCACTCCTGGCTAAATCGCATTCGAGGGTTGGAAGCACATGGTAGGGCTGGCGGCAGCAGTTGGGGGAATGGGAGGGTTGGTGGCCGGGAAAGTCGCTGAAGCCAAAAGGGGTGGGGAGCTCCGTCAAAGAGGGGTGCCGGTCTCCTTGCAGCTGCTGCTGTGGCACAAATCAGAAGCTCCAGCCAGCATCAGCGGCTTCAGTAGCCCGCATGAATGTCAGATACAAGCGCAGCGACCTGATTGCTGGTGCTTCTTTGTTTAGATGGCTTGAAACTCAGCATTAAGAAAACTTAAGATCGGGGCATCTGGTCCTCTCACTTCCTGGCAAATAGATGAAGAAAAGGAGGTAGTGGCAGATTTTATTTTCCTGGGCTCCAAGATCACCGCAGACGGAGAGTGCAACCAAGAAATTAAAAGATACTTGCTCCTTGGGAGGAAAGCTGTGGCAAATCTAGACAGCATACTAAAAAGCAGAGACGGCACCCTGCTGACAAAAGTGCATATAGTCAAGGCTATGGTTTTCCCAGTTGCAATGTATGGCTGTGAGAGTTGGACCATAAGGAAGGCTGAGCACCGAAGAACTGAGGCCTTTGAGTTGTGGTGCTGGAGGAGACTCCTGCGAGTCCCCTGGACCACAAGGAGATCAAACCAGTCAGTCCTAGAGGAGATCAGCCCCGACTGCTCTTTAGAAGGCCAGATCCTGAAGATGAAACTCAAATACTTTGGCCACCTAATGAGAAGGAAGGACTCACTGGGGAAGAGCCTGATGCTGGGAACAATAGATGGCAAAAGAGGAAGGGGACGGCAGAGGATGAGGTGGCTGGATGGAGTCACTGGGGCAGTGGGTGTGAGCTTGGGGGGCCTCCGGGGGATGGTGGAGGACAGGAAGGCCTGGAGGAATGTTGTCCATGGGGTCGCGATGGGTCGGACATGACTTCACGACTAACATAATAACTTCTCTGTTGGCTTTTACAGCTATGTAAATAGATGTGCGTAAAAAAAAGACTGCTTTTCAGAACTCAGATAATTGTTTCTACAGCGCCCAGTCTGCTGCGAGTCCTTTGCATCTCTGCTCACGCCGCAGACTGTGTGCACGTGTTCTGTGCATCCAGCCAGCCTTCTGGGCCTCTTTGGGCCTCTGCGTGAATCTCACGTGTACCCCAGAGCACACTCCACCCTCTCCCATAGCTGAAAACACAGCTGGAGAAGAGCGCTCCACTAGACCTTCTTACCAAGACCTTTCTATTTTGTTTTCCTTTCATGTGTTAACTTGTGGCATCATTTCATTGTTTTGAGTTTTGAGTTTTTTGTTGATGATCACGCTTAGGTTTCTGTGCCAATGTATCAGAATATTTACATTGAAGGAAGTCAGGCAAATCCATTCAGTAAAATGCTGTGCAACGTAAACAGTAAGCCGGACCTCCCAGTACTGAGAGGTGTCATGTATACTGCTTGCTGGAATGGCTCCGTCTGCCCGGATTCACTCCCCTCTCCTCCTCAATGTCTTTGCAGTATCAACAATAAACTGCAGCAGCCCGAGGCAGCTTCCGGGGTGCTGGAATATGCCATGAAGCACTTTGGGGAGTTGGTAAGTGAGCCCTCGTTTTTCTGTGTCTGGAGTGCATCCCAGCATCTCTGCAGCACTTTAGAAGATTATTTATCCCCTTGTTGAATTCGGAGCGGAGAGTGCATGGAGCCCGGCGGGGCGGGGCGGGGGGAGTGCTTTGCAGGCTGGAGCCAGATCCATAAAGGTCTCACGTGGAGGGGCACAGAAATGTCGTGTGCCTAGCTTTATCCTGCCTGCAGGCCATGAAAGAATCCGCTGCTTGGCATCCGCCACAGCGAGAGCTGCCAGCAGCTGAGCGGAAAAGAACATTGGCCAGGAGCCCACGCTGGGGCAGAGGTGGCGGAGTAAAGACGTCTAGGAGGATTCAGAGTGGTAGCTTATTTCAGCTTTTGCGGGGGAAAAAACACTATTTTTTGAAAATCCTTAAAGAAGCAAATGGTTGGGAGAAGATTTGGAAAGCTCAAAGCCACTGCCAGTGGGTGATTTTGTTGTTTCTGCATTTATCTTCCGAAATGGAGGGAGGTTAAGGCCAGCTTATGTCTCCTTCCCTTCTGCAGGGAGCCCTAGCCGAGCCTCGTGTTTGCAGGCTGGCCCTTGGCTGTGCCGTTCCCAAGTGCCGGTCCCAAGGTGACTTGGGCCTGGACCCTGTGGGAGCATACACAGCATGGGGGACTGCTTCTGTCACTGGCCTCCAGTGTCCTCTCCTCCCCGACCCCAGTCCATTAGCATGGCTTTGTCCAGCCTTGTGCACGCCTCATCTGCTGAGTCCTAACCCCGAAGTGCTCCAGCCAGGATAGGGGCCACCCAGCTGGGGAGGCCTGCTGCACTGTCACACGCCGTGGGGTGCCATGCAAGGATAGGATTGCCTGGAACAGAAAGGCGTCTTTTTTTGAAAAACCAATATGTCTATTTTAAGTATTTTTAGCCTGTTCCACAGTTCAAGGTCACTCGTATGGCTTACAGTGAATCAGTGAAATGCGATGGTCTCCGCCTGCAGATTTATGGACTCAAAAGACAAGCAAAAGAGGACGGAGAGATGAAAGGGAAAATGACGTGCGTTTCAGCAGGGCTGGTGGAAGCTGTTCTTTACCAGGGCAGAGTATTCTTCCCCCTCTTCTTGCTCTGCCTACTCCAGCCGGAAGCAGCTCGCTGGGGTCTCAGTCACAGGGCTTCCCCATCCCCTGCTGCTTTTGGAGAGGCTGAGGGTAGGTCTGGGTGTCTTTTCCATGCAACGCTCCCGAACAGCGGCTCTTCTTCAACGAGGAAGCCCAGGGTAGCCGTTGCCCACCCGGCCCTACCAGTAGAGCATGGCTGCCGGCCCAGCAGCTGGCCAAGCGACGGCCGTTCCTGGGAGGTTCTGTTGCACCTGATGAGCTTCCCACAGGCTGCTGGTGGACGGTTGTGAGAGCAGAATGCCGGACGAGATGAGCCTTCGGACTGATTTGGCACTTCTTGTCTTAGGTCCTTGGGTCACTTAACCTGCAGATGAGCTTTTAATGGACTGAGTCAGCGCTGTTTGAAGTGTAACCTTTCCCACCCTCCTGTCCCTCAAATGCGATGGGCAACAATTCCTGCCACGGCCATGGCTCCAGCAGGCTAAGAATGCTGGGAGGTGGCGTCCAGCTCACTTGGAGCGTATTTACCTATTTTTAATTATTGTGACAGGTTTATTCGGTGAACTGCTTTGGGCACCGTTTATTTGTGGAAAGCAAACCCGGCTTTTCTCGCTTTGAAGCTGCCGTTTTTGTATGCTTCCTTCCATCCACTCATTCCAGGAAATCCAGGCAACCTGGTATGAGAAGCTGCATGAGTGGGAAGATGCTCTAGTCGCATACGACAAAAAGATGGACACAAACAAGGATGACCCGGAACTGATGCTGGGGCGCATGCGCTGCCTGGAAGCCCTCGGGGAATGGTAAGAAAAGCCATCGCTTCGGAGTCTGACCTTGCCTTGACTGCCTCGGATCCATTTCCTCAGTGTAGCAAAGCTGTTTCAAAGTGCCTCTCTCTCTCTCAGTAAAAATCACACAAAGTGGGTACAACAAGGATCCATACAATGTAAATTAAAAGATCAATAACATCCCTGAAAAGAAAGATCGCTAATTAAAATCAGCCAAAGCAAACCTTTCTAAGAAAAGCCAACAGCCCAGACTTTCACTTCAAATTCAGTGCTGTGAAAGCCAACAGAAATGGCCTTGTCTTCAGAGGTAATGATCTGCAGAGGAGGGGCCTGACGCATTAATTAAACTCCTCCTTCACACAACATTGATTGAAACTATGGAATTCGATGCACAGGAAGTAACTAATGATGGCCATCGGTTTGGATGGCTTTCAGAGGGGGAACGGACAGATTCATGGAGGAGAATCCAGGGCCGCTGCCCTCCTGTCAGACGAGGCATGCGCTCACGCGCCAGGTCCTGAGCAGCTTGGGCAGGTGGAACTCTTGGACACACCCTGCTTGAGGGATCCCGCGGGCAGACGTTTGGTCCGATCCCACCTGGCTTTTCTTACGTTCTTCCATCTAAGCCTGAAGGAAGCTGCTTTCAGAAGTGCTGCCAGTGCTCCCCAGTCCAGCTGCCCTTGGCAGATGAAAAGGGGCCTCTAATGATGACCCTGGAGTGCAGGCAGACTGGTGTGGAAGATGGTGGTCCTTTTGCTGGTTTGCAGGGAGGTGGGGCATCCGGAAATCCGGGGACCAAGCCTCACTTCTCCAGCTGCTGCCTTCACACGGTGCTTGACCGGCTATGGGATGTACCACAGCCCCTGCTGTCTTTGCTGGAAAGAAGTGGGACATGCAGTTTCAAGGAACATTCGCCTCTGTGCGCCTTGAATTCGACTGGGTCTGCTGTGTTCGTGTGCAGCTGCTGTCCAAGATGTGTCTCTGAGGACAGGGCCTTTTGGATGGTGGCCCCCTTCAAGGAATCTGTTCCCAAGAGAACCCTTCTGTGTAGCTCCTTACCGAGTTTTGGCTGTGGCGAGATCATTCGAGCAGGTCTTCTCCGATTCCTTGTATTTCGCCCAGTTTGCACTTGTTGCAGCTCAGACCCTCTGTCCACCTAGCACAGCCTTTTTTCCCAAAACCGGCAGCGATTTTCCAGGGGCTCAGGCAAGAATCTCTCCCGGCTTGTCCTGAAAATGTTGGGGACTGACTCGTGGCCTTTTTTAAAAAACTGCTCTGAGGGCTTTTGCTGACAAACACAGCAGGCGCTTTCGAATGAAGTATGTCCCAGCATGGCTTGCTAAGGGATTCGGGGATCAAAGGACCGTGTCACAGAGAAGCGCAACATGGGTCGGGGGTGCTTGGCTGGGCCTCCCAGATCACGCCTTCTTGTGTCCTTATGCCAGTAATCTACAGACATGCATATGAAGTGGCTGACTGCGCTTTGGTGAGGCTGACTTGAGACGGCAGTACAGCGTGCAGTCCACCCGGAGGGTTCAGCGGATCCGAGCAGCTCTGCCCGAGTCTCTGAGCAACTTGAATCATTGGGCCTCCAGCCGGAGGCCAGTGCTGACCGTACAGGGGCTGTCGGGGAGAGGCCCGCTCATGGACGTCAGTAGGCAGATCATGAGGACTAGCGGAAGATACGAAGCAGCGCAGTTTGTGCCCGCTGAATCCCACCTCTGCATCCTGGATGGCTGAAGGAGAAGCAGCTAGCTGCACCAGAGGTTCCAACACATGTGCTTGTTTCCGTTCCTAGGGGACAGCTGCACCAGCAGTGCTGTGAGAAATGGACCTTGGTGAACGACGACACCCAGGCGAAAATGGCGAGGATGGCAGCCGCGGCTGCTTGGGGCTTAGGTGAGTCCCTGCCCTGCCATTTCCAAGAAATAGCGGTGTGATTCTTACTCAGCAGCCAGGTGACCGAGTGAACAGCCCCTTGCAGGCCATCCCTTCCCTAACCCAGGGAGTTCTGCCTTGTAATTTTGCTGCAGGTTCACCTGGTGGATGAAATGACTCAGACGCGCACCGAGCCAGTTTCCAAGGAAGCCAGTGTTCGCATCCACTGCCACTTCAAATTCATTGCTGAGTTTGTAGGAATCATTCTTCTTTAGAAAGAAAGACGGAATCCAAATTGGCCCTGCCAGAATCCGTCTGCATTTCTGCTGATGTGAATGAGAGAAATCAGTCAGGCATTCAAAAGAACTAGGCTTCTGTAATTAACCTTCCTCACACTCTGAAATGGAGGCCGGGAACCAAGGAAAACGACAGAGGCAGAGTTCTATAAGGCACAGCCCTGGAACCATATTACGGGGTCCTGTTTTCATTTGTGCAAAGTGAAAGGGTATCTAGGTCCATCGAGTGCAGGAGAAACGCTTTGGTGCACATAATGAGGAAGCCTGTTTAATAGAACATGCCGAATGTTCTCGGCCTAGCGGGCCTGTGGCTATTAGCCCTGCAAGCGTGACATCATGATAGGTGCAGTCCTACAGGTCTGGAGGGTGGGGCGTGGGGCCTGCTCCCTTGCCTGGGGTGGACTAGGCAGGGGCTAGCTCAGCATCCTCCTGGATCCTTTCTACCTGGGCCATTTATCCAGGCTGTCTGTCTGTCTGTCTGTCTGTCTCCGCAGGCCAGTGGGACAGCATGGAGGAGTACACGTGCATGATCCCAAGGGACACCCACGACGGCGCCTTCTATCGGGCCGTACTGGCGCTCCACCAGGATCACTTCTCGCTGGCCCAGCAGGTACCGCGACGATCCCTGCCGAGTGACCGCTGGAATCATCCTGCAGGCTGCCGTTGGGCGTCGTTCAGGGGAGGCTCTCGCCGAGTCCTTTGGACAGGCCTCGAGTGAGCTTCTGGAACGCTGTCCCCTGGCAAGCCTCCGACCGGCGTTCTCTTTCCAGGCTCTCTGGCTGTACTAGCCTTGCTGTCTAAGAATACGTCCCTGGGGATGCTGCGGGGGGGGGGGGGTGGCAGGGGTGCAGAAGGGAAGCATGTGCCTTGCAAGCCCGAACCAGCCCATGCAGTCTCAGGCACGCAGGGCGAAGAAGGGGCTTTGAGGGGAAGGCAAAGGTTGGATTTATATACAAAGTGGATGCAAGCAAGGTGACAGGCCATAGCCTGCCCAAAAGGGCAGCCTTTTCCTGCCCCCCCCCACAACATCTTTGGCCAGGATACATGAAATCTCCAAATTAAGCCCACCTAGCCAGCTAATTCAGTTCTCGGGTTTCCGGTTATTGATTCATATTCCCAGCTTTGGCCTCCTTTCCCCATTCTGAGAAGTTGGAATGCTTTTCCTAAGTGCTTTAAGCTGGTGTCTCTCTCTCTCTCTCTCTCTCTCTCTCTCTCTCTCTCTCTCTCTCTGTGTCTGTGTGTCTGTGTGTCTGTGTGTCTGTGTGTCTGTGTGTCTGTGTGTGTGGAGGGTGATGTTGTATTTTAGGCTTCACTCCCTTCCCTCTGGCCCTGCCTGGTTTGCCTTTTACTCTGCCACCAAGGACTTTTGGAGAAGTCCATCCCTTAGGGCCCAAAGAGGATCTCTTCCCCCCTTCTTAATTTTTCCTGTTGCTTTTTTGCCTTTTCAGAGTGGTTTTCCTTCTCCTCATTGTAACCTTAAGCCTTTTGTGCTTAATTTCTCACGTTCCTATGATTTTGTTCCTCTAAATCAGGGATAGGCAGGCCTCTGGCTTGTGGGATCTGCTTTAGTTTTTAGGAGAGCCCCAGGATTCCCCAACCAGAGCCCGGTGTAAAAGTTGCACTTGGGATGAAAGAATTCTGAGCCCAGGAATTTGGAGTAGCAGAACTGGGCAGAGCTCACAGTACTTCCAGTCTTGGTTACCCCCAAGTAGCACAACGTAGGGTGGGGGAAGAATCATTTTACTGTTGTGATTATGAAATAGTTGGCATCTCCTTGCTGATCTCCTGCAAATCACTCAGAAATCTGCTAGGAGATATCTACCTTCCGTCCACTCTTGCTCCAAATCTATCTTTGCTGCTTCTCAAAATCCAAGTTGCCACCTTTTCCTGTTTGCTCCTCCTCAGAAACTTCTCTGCATGAATATAACTCCTGGTTTAAACCCAAGATTATCCTCCCTTCCCCAGCCACCTCCCTGACCTTTGCATTTCACTTTCTTGTCTGCGATCGGACAGCCTTCATCAGTCAATACATTCGAACGCCTCTTGGAACCTCGGCTAGTTATCTTGGCTCTTCCAATGAATCTTCCCGCTTTTATTTTGACCTTTTCTCTAGTGTGTCTCATCTGTAATTTTAAATGATAGACCTGCATCTGTCTGTCTGTCTGTCTGTCTGTCTGTCTGTCTGTCTGTCTATCTATCTATCTATCTATCTATCTATCTATCTATCTATCTATCTATCTATTTGTCTTTCAGCTAGTATAATGCTTAACGATTTTACATGCTTGATTAACAAAAGCAATCAGAGTGTCCTTGGCAAAGTTTCTTGGGCAGTCCAGAGGTTTTTGCCGCATGACAGTAGTGAAAAGCATTAAGCAGAAGCTTTGGGAAAGGGAGGGCCACTTTCTCGCTCTCTTTCCTTCCATCAGTGCATTGATAAAGCCCGGGACTTGCTGGATGCTGAGCTGACAGCCATGGCAGGGGAGAGTTACAGCCGTGCCTACGGGGTGAGTACGTCAGGCCCCATCTCGTGCCGGTCCTGTTCCAGGCTTGTTCCAGTGCAGTGGTGACTGGGATGGAATGTGATTGGCTGTTTCCTCTAGGCAATGGTCTCCTGCCAGATGCTATCAGAGCTGGAAGAAGTAATCCAGTACAAACTTGTACCAGAGCGCCGTGAGATCATTCGGCAGATCTGGTGGGAAAGACTGCAGGTAAAACCGCACTCGACGGGCTACTCACGTGCTTCTTTATTCTTTACTGAATTCTTACTCTGCACTTCGTCTAAAAAAAAAAAGTCATTCCGGGTGGGTTAGAAAGATTTAATAATGAATTGGGCCCTGTTCTCAGGCTTACAGTCGATAAGACATGACGCGAAAGGAATTAGGAACCGACTCCTCAAAGCAGCTAACTCAGGCACCAGTTCTTCACTTCAAGTTGTTTCTGTCAGCAGATAAAATTTCAGAACTCTCCCAAATAAATAAAACTCTTGTGTTCGATAGTATAGGGACACTGGGAAGCAGGAAAAGCTTCTGGGTCGTAGGTCCCCCTCTTCTTTTCCCCTCCCATGAGTGGGTGTAAACTCCCAGGAGTATATGCCCCTGCCTTGTACTGATTCACCTGTACCATGTAGCCCAGCACTACTGATTGCAACTGGCGGGGGTTCTCCAGGGGCTTCATGCAAGATGCTTCCTCCTACCTGGAGATGGCAGGCCTTGAACTGGGGGCCTTCTGCACGGAAGCTGGTCTGCTTTACCCCTGAGCCACAGAGGGCTGCACACCTGCTAGCCACATGCGCTGCCGTGCCCGCCCAGAGAAGGCCTTTCTTCACCGTGGCTCGCTCTCTCCCGCTGTCCATGTGCGTGCTTCCGTGCTGTGCAAGAAGTTGTTTACTTCTCGCTGCCAGTGTCTTGCTTGCTCTCTCCCTGTGCCATTTGGGAAGCCGCGACAAAGCTTTCTGCCTCCAAAATTGCATTCCTGTCTGGAAAGGCTCAGGGAACATTCCGCCGGAGAGGAAAAGCTGAGGGCGACAGGGTGGGTAGAAGTCTGTGTTTATAGTGCCGGGGAAGAGAGGGAGAAGCAGGACATGGCGTTCTTGTACATTTTATAGCATCTCACTAGTAAATACACAAGGCCTGCTGGACCACTTGTGGGAATGTCTTCTTTGAAGGTCAACGAGTAGCAGATTTCCTGGCTAATTTGAAAGGGTGGGTGGTGGGGACAGCCAGAAGCATGGCATACCTGAACTCTGAGGCAGGTCCTCTGGCAGCGAGGTTCTTCCCGAAGCAGTCCTTCTGGCCAGCGCTTGGGTATTTTCCTGGGATGCTGCTCAGGCCCACCGAGCCATCTGAGGTAGGTTTACCCTCTCGCAGGAGCAAAAGACCCACTGATTTTAGCTGGCACATTGGTGGAAGGTGTGGGGAAAACCCCACCAGGCCCTGGGCATGTGGGCACCCTGCTGATCCGCTGTGTTGGGTTCTCATGCCTGCTTTTAACTCGCTGCCATCCGTGAGAATTGGAACTGCTTCCCTCTGGAAGCTGACCCAGGCCACGTGCGTGAAGCCGCCTTCCAAGCACATGTGCAGTGGGGCTGGCCGGTGAGGGGGGCCTGGCCAGAGGCTGCATGGGCTGGGACGTGTGCCAGCGCAGGGGAGCAGAAGGGCGGATGTGGCTGCCCCACATTCTGGCATGCCCTTCAGCTGCGTAATTAAACTGGAATCTGCTGCCACAGGATGGAGTAACAGCTCCTCACCCGGGTGGCCTTAGATACAGATGACTGTAGATCACCTGAACGATAAGAGGCGAGAAGCGCCTGGGCACGATTGACTGGGGAACACGAGCACTCGCTTCTTCTGCTCTCCCGTCCCACTCATGGGATTCACAGCTGGTTCGCCACTGAGTGCTGGGCTGCACGGACCCTCCGGTTGATCCAGCGTGGCCGCCCTTGTGCTCCTAAATTGGAAAGCACTTGCCGAGAGGCAGTGTGGTGTGTTGGGCAGAGCACTGGACTGGGGACCCGGGAGATCCCAGTTCCAGTCCCCACATGGTCATGGACCTTCCTGGGTGGCTTCAGGTCAGTCGCTTTCAGCCCAGCCTGCCTTGCAGGGTGGTGGTTGTGAGGGTAAAATGGAATCATGGAAGTTGTCTTGGTTTCTGTACCAGAGGAGACGGGTGGGATATAAATGCAAGATAGCGATAATAGTAGCGCCTTGCGCACCCGTATTCCAGGGGCTCACGTGGTAGCTGCATGTTGCTGAGAGCATTAGCCGTGTGGGTACGTTCCATGACGGGTGACTGGGGGGAAGGGGGCAAGGAGATGGGAAGCAGCACAACGTCCACATTCAGATCACGAACCTGGGTCAGGTCCAGGTGCCAGGAAATTACAGGGTGGCGGAGCAGGTGATGGGGCCCGTCTGCGCCCTCACGCCCGGAGAGCCAGCGCTGCTCAGAGCAGACAGTCCCGGCCCAGATGGGCTGGTGACCTCTTCCCGGGACTTGGAGGGAGGGCAGCCTCTGAAGCGGGAATGCCACTGCCGTGGACGTGTTGCTTCGTCCGATCGGCATCGTCCACGTGGTTCTTCCGACGGGGAGCGTGCCGGCATCCTTCCCCTGCTCCTCTGCATGGAGCTGACTGGGTCCTTTTGAATTCAGCCCCAGGCACCGCGGCCTCCTGTGCCGTGGCAGGCACCGAGCCGTTGTGGCGCTTGGCACAGGTAGGCCGGGGGAGACGGCATCTGCTAGTGCAGCCCGCCTGCCAGCAACGTGTGGAATGGCCAAGTCAGTCTGGCGGCGGCAGGATGCCAGCCCTAGGCAGAGCGAACAAAACAGAGCAAAAAAAAAGCACAAGGAGAAAAGCTGCTGTGCTAATGCTGCCGCTTGCCTCCTCTCTTCTTTTCCGAGCGGGGCAAACCAGCAGCTGCTCCCAAAGCACGCCGCGAGGTTCTTTTTTGGAAGTGCAGTCAGAACTCGGAATTGTTCTTTGAAAAGGGATTTAGCACTGAAGGTATTGCTGTGTATTTTGAGGTTGTTCCCGCTACAGGAAGTTAAGCGTTCTTTCTCTCCTCCCCCCCCCCCCCTTTTTCCATCAGTGGAGGCTGTTAATTTTGGAGAACCAGGCCTGTTTCTAGGCCTGCTGTTATGTGCAGTCCCCGAGGACTGATCAAAGTCCGCAGCCAGCCATGTGTTTGGGATGGAGCGGTGTGCAAGCGGGAAGCGTTATGGATAAATTGTTTGGTCTAATGAAACAGAACTTCTCCCTTCAGGAGAAATAGCTGTGGTTCACCATTAGCGGAAACATTAACCGAGTGTTAGTACGCAGAGCGCATCCCGTCCTTGGTTAAATGTCCTAATTGCAAATCAAATTAATCTGAACTGTTCTTATTTTAATGTTCTTACTGTATTGTGCCTAATCCACAGAGAACTTTGGATATTGGGCAGTTCTTAAAAATACAGTTAGTAATAAGCTTTAGCTTTTGGGAGCCTTCCCTTTTCCTCTGTGGCTCCATCGGGTACCTGTCGGATGTGGCGGAACGCAATTCTTTTCATCTCTGGTGTCTGGAAGCTTCCCCACTTGCTTCAGAGCAGACTGGGGCAGGGCAGGGGAGCACCACGGCACCAAATTTCGACAGCTGGTACAGTCTGGGGCAGCAAGGGTGGCAGTCCAGGGAGACAGCACATCCCTGGACCCCTAACCCACCCCTGCTCTTCATAGTGATGTAATACTATTCAGGTTTTCCCTGCAGGCCGCTGTCGAAGCACTCGGCCCAGTGAATTCCGCAGGAGGCTGATGCGTTCCATGTATTGCTCCCTGTGCCATTTATCCCCGCTGCCGGTTTGCTTTGTCAGCTAAAGAGGAAGAGCACCGAACACCACCCTAGCCTGGGGCCACCCGGCAGGCATGGGGAGCGCTTAGCTCCAGATGGTCCCCAGCTCCCTCCCCAAGTGGGGCTGGAAGGAGCCCTCCCTGGAACGCCGCAGAGCCGTGGCAGCCCGTCCGCGTTAGACAGACCGAGGCGCGGCCTCTCAGTAGGAGAACTTTACAAGTCCTGGTGCTCACGCCTACATGTCCCTTGTCCCCAGGGCTGCCAGCGGATCGTGGAGGACTGGCAGCGGATACTCATGGTCCGGTCGCTTGTGGTCAGCCCCCACGAGGACATGAGGACGTGGCTGAAGTACGCCAGTCTGTGCGGCAAGAGCGGAAGGCTGGTGAGTGCCCGCCGGGCCCCGCCGGGTGACGGGATGGCTGGGACCCAGGGATGGGCTCCGAGGGGCCTTGCGGCACAGCCCGTGCCAGGGAGCTGGGTGAGCAGGGGCCTAGATGGGGGGAGGTCCTGTGGGGGTTTGGAGCACTTTCCCCCTGAAAATGGAACAGGCCAGCACGGTGTGTTGTTGTTGTTGTAGTAGTACTGGGAGCAAAAGTGTCGCCCTCTCTCACAGACACACAGCAGCGTTCCTTTCCCAGCCTGCTTTCGTATGGCTGTAATACTATTTAAGATGCCCACAGAACTTTTCTTACACACCACCGGCAATTTTTGCTTGGCATTAGGGTACTCCGGGGGCAAAGGTCATTGCCTCCAATGGGGGGAAATCGCTTTACGTGCAGGAGGCAGCCTTTGCTATAGCTGTAGCTGTCCTGCCCTTCGTTGGAAAGCAGTGGGCAAGGGACATGGTCTGATCCTAGGGCAGCGATGGCGAGCCTTTTAGGGACCGAGTGCCCAAACTGCCACCCAAAACCCACTTATTTATCGCAAAGTGGCAACACTGCAATAAAACCTGAATACTGAGGTTTTAGTTCAGAAAAAAACAACTCACAGCCAGTCCGAGCAAATCCATCCATCCATCCTTGGCAGCGCGCTGACCGGCCATGCGAAAACTCAGATGAGTCGCGGCTACGGATTCACAGCTCGTGACGTCCTCGCCTGAAACTACTCCTGTCCGAGCATGCGCATGGCCCCTCTGTGCGCTGTCATCCAATGCTCGGCTGCCGGGGCGATGCTGGGGCGACTGGGCTCGCGTGCCGACGGAGAGGGCTCTGCGTGCCCGCTGCGGCACATGTGCCACGGGGTCGCCACCACTGGCCTAGACTATGCACAGTGATCAGTGTTCTGACTGGGGGCCTTTGTCCTCGTGGTGGTTAGCAAACTCTGGTTTTCTGTGGCAGAGAAACGAAGTGTGAGCAGGGCAGGCACACCTGCCTATTCCCTGGCCCGCTTTGCCCCTTAGGAAGTAAAGAGGCGGGTGGCACGGTCCTAGCAGGCGCGCAGGAGAGGTGCGTGCAAGCCTGTGTCAACCTGCCCCTCCTCCTCCTCATTCCAGGCGCTGGCCCATAAGACCCTCGTCCTGCTCCTGGGGGTTGACCCGTCCCGGCAGCTGGATCACCCGTTGCCAACTGTTCATCCTCAGGTGACCTATGCCTACATGAAGCACATGTGGAAAAGCGCCCGCAAGGTAAATGTCGCAAGGAATTCCAGAAATGCTTTTCTTCCCTCTGTCAGTTGCTCCCAGTTGCTGGAATGCCAGCACTGCTGAAAGAGAGGAAGGCTTGACTCCCCTTCCTTTTCCCCACCGCTCCCTCCAGTTTTGCGGTGGATCGTCTCCGTCCTTGACGCTACTGCTGTCTTGGCTCTCGGTGCGTGTGCTTGGCTTCGTGATGTGCCAGTGGCCAGCACAGGAGCACGCTGGGTAACCGGCAAGGATCCTTGCAGACAGAACAGCTCTTTGCAGGTTTCAGGCGTCCGGCTCACAAACAGCTGGGGAATGCAGGCACCGTGCAAGGCCAAAGCGTTCGACTTAAGAGGGCCAAGGGCTCTGTCTCCCTGGCACTGCCACACCGGGACAATTTACATAATCAAAGCCAGCCTGTCTCAGACTGGCTCTCCCCTCCCCGCTTGACGTATGGCAAAGCTGCTCCCTGCTCCTGCGTGTGCTGCCACATCAGTCCTTTTATTCGGCCCCTTCTGGTTTTGCCCGCTGCCGAAACGGAAGCCGTTGTAAGCATGTGGAGGTTTAGCAAAGGTGAGGTGCTACCAAGACAGTGCGCAGAGAAGAAAGCTCTGGTTTTGCAAACGTGTCAACAGAGAGCATGCGTTGATCCGACGGTCCACGCAGTCAGCAATAAAAGCAGTTAACAGGCCCTCGTTAAAACTATTTCCTGCTATGCCAAATGTCTGGGAGAAGAGCAGGTGCTTAATCCGGCACGGGCAGCCGAAAGGGCAGCTCCTGGGGGAAAGCCCGGACGCGCAGCCAGTGCCTTTCTTGTTGTCCTGTCCGTGCCTCCGGCCGCCTCTGTCCTCGGGCAGTGCATGCAGCGCGGGAGCCCGCATGCATTGGACCCCTGTGGCCTGTTGCAGATCGAGGCCTTCCAGCACATGCAGCATTTCGTGCAGACGGTGCAGCAGCAGGCCCAGCACGCCATCGCCGCCGAGGACCAGCAGCACCGGCAGGAGCTGCACAAGCTCATGGCGCGGTGAGCCTCCCGCCCGATCGGGCCCCCTGGGTTTGGCCTGCCTGTTTCTGGGGCGGTGCCCGGGCGCCCCGGTTGCTCAGCTCCCCAGGGCAGCGCTCGCGGGCTTGCAGAAGCGCTGCTTGGTGCCTGCCTGCCCGCCCGTCCGCCCGTCCCGGTAGACTCCTGTTTTTCTTTCCCGAGACGGTTTTCCAGTGCTAAAAACGGCCTTTCAGCTGGAAAGCTGGCCGGCCACAAGGTGATGCGCTGCCCTCCAGTGCCACCCGGGAAGCGAGCATTTTGGGGACAGCCAGGCCCAGCCTGAGCGCTCCAGAGGTGCCAGCCAGCCCAACATGGTGGGAGACCTTTCTGGGCCAGCCTTGGTGCCCTGAAGAGGTGCTGGACTACAATCCCCATCATCCCCAGCCAGCAGAGCCACGGATATTTTGATGGAGGACAACGTCAGAACGGCCCAGTAAACCAGAACATGAAGCTTCTTTCTGTTTGCGCCGATATAGATTTAGCCATAGGTTTTGCTTTTATTGGTTAGCTTCACTGTGCGGCCACTTAGAGCATCCTGCCGTGCTGTGTATTCTACGTCCTTCAGCTGGACAGTTGCCTCACAGCCCCACAACTCTTCTCCAGCAGCCCCACAGCTGCCGAGGTGGAGCCGGTGGGCCCTGCCTCCTTCCTTGCCAGACGGAAACGACGCACTTGCCCCGGGCTCTGGGCGGGCTATCTCCCGACAGCAAGCCTGCTAACCAAGATCTCCCTCTCACTTCTCTCCTGCTTTTCCCCCTGTTCCGCCTCAGGTGTTTCCTGAAACTGGGCGAGTGGCAGCTGAACCTGCAAGGCATCAATGAGAGCACCATCCCAAAGGTCCTGCAGTACTACAGCGCCGCCACGGAACACGACTGCAACTGGTACAAGGTACGCTGAGGAGGGAGGTGAGGCGCGGGCTGGAGCCCTGGGCGCGGCTGCTGCCTCGTTCGGTCCCCGCTGTCTGCAGGCAGAGTTGGGAAGGGATCCTGCCTGAAACCCGGAGGAGCCCCCCAGGCTCAATCCCCCAGGCCTCTGATTTAAACCAGCCCTTCATTTCGAATCACAAGCGCCGCAATCCTTTGGGGAAATGCTGCGGCTGAGTGGTGGGAATTCATTTATTTATTTTATTTATTTATTAAAACATTTCTGTGCCGCCCCATTTGCCGAAGCCTCGGGGCAGCTCACAACATAAATTAAAATACAGGAGATAACAATATAAAATAAGTCGCCCTGGCCAGATAAAATAAGCGAATAATATTAATAATTAAAAGGACGCTTAAATGAAAAGGTCTTCGCCTGGCGCCAAAAAACAAATAACGAATGGCCCGCTTTGCGGACGGAAGACCCTGAGTTCACTTCCTGGCATTTCCGGGTAGAGCTCGAAAGGGCCCCGTCCTGAAGCCGGGGAGATGGCTGGCAATTGCTGCAGGCGCAGCGGAGCTAGATGCGTCCAGGCCCGTTCGGCGGGAAGCCCCGGATTAGTGCGGGAAGGGGCGCCAGTGCCGTGCTCTCGCGCGTTGCTCACGGTGCGTCTGACACTCGACAGGCTTGGCACGCCTGGGCGGTGATGAACTTTGAGGCGGTCCTTCACTACAAGCACCAGAACCAAGCCAGGGACGAGAAGAAGCTGCGGCACGCCAGCGGGGCCAGCGTCACCAGCGCCAACACGGAGGGCAGCAACAGCGAGAGCGAAGCGGAGAGCGCCGAGAACAGCCCCGTCCCGTCCCCCGTGCAGAAGAAGGTGACAGAGGTGAGGGGCGAGGGTTCGGCAAGCCCCGCCGGTTCTGGGTGCGCGTCGGTGCAGGAGAGTCCTTGCATCTCGCGCCCGGATTGTCAAAGCGTCCGTTCCCCCAACAGGACTTGTCCAAAACGCTGCTGATGTACACAGTTCCAGCCGTGCAGGGTTTTTTCCGGTCCATCTCTTTGTCACGAGGAAACAATTTGCAAGACACGCTCAGGTGCCTGATGTTCAGCTGTCTCCTTTGAAAACGTTAGTTGTCGGTCGCGCCCGTGAAGCTGCTTTGCTTAGCCAGAGCAAGCCGTGGGCCTTGTGTGTGACGAAACACAGCTCCCTGGGCTAATTCATTATTTTAAGTAGTCTGGGGAGAGAAGGCAGCACTGGTCTTGACCTCATTTCCTTTTTTCCCCCTCCAGAGTCCTTACGTTATGGTTCGACTATGGCCACTGGCCAGAAGTAAATGAGGCACTGGTTGAAGGAGTCAAGGCAATCCAGATTGATACGTGGTTACAGGTAAGGGTCCATTTTAAATCAAGATTCTTTTTCCTGTTCACGGAACAGTGACAGTAGATTCCACAACAGGAACGCTAAACAAATTGAGCCTGTGTATCGCGAACCCACGGTTTATTTGTCTTGTGGGCACCCGACCCGTCTGGCAGACTGTCAAACTAGCCAATGCTTTTCTCATTGCACAGGTTGTCTGTTTCTCTCCTTTTCTGCCTGCTCCCTCCTCGTATCTTAAAAATCTTTGTGGCACGTGAACACCTTGGTTTTTGACCACTCTTGCCTGCCACTGGGGTAGCCCGGCAAAACCAACCCACAAGCAGCTGACGGTTGTGCTTTCACACATAATGACCACCCAGAATTCACAATGCGACACTAAGCCATCGGTTCCCTTTCTGGTATGTCCACGATGAGCAAACCACGGTTTGTTAGTGCAACCCAGTTCACACAACAGTCCCGACAGTGTACACCATGGATCGGCATTTTGTGTGAACGCAGCCACTCGTGTGTGTGTGTGTGTGTGTGTTCTCAAGCCCCATCCATTTATGGTATGCATCTGTAGGCTGGAATTTGGCATCTTACTATTTCCCCTGTGCTTGTCCCGGTGTCTTTCTTAGAAATGGGGATCAGAACATGATACGGAACTTGGGACCACCCATTCACATGGGCTGGCAGCCAATTTGGCTGAGAACATTTCTTCATGCAGTTCAAAGGAGCTTTGTTGCAATGGCTCCTACAAGCTTTTAAAAAAGGATCAGGCTGTTTCATGGAAGATCCGTCTCAAGTGCCAATAACCAATAATGAGGACTCCATATATGAAGGCAGGGTGCAGTCGATCGGCTGTCCTTGATTGTTTTTTCCCCCCCGGGGTCTGGCTGTCACCTTACATCCTGCTTGCAGGCTTTCCTGGGGATCTAGCTAGTGTTAGAAACAGGGCACTGGACTAAATAGGTGGTGGACTGCGCCAGCCCTGCTCAGTGGCTTGGCCAAGGGCCTGCCATGCTGACCACGTGAAAGAGTGGGGTTTCTGCCCTCTCCTTCCCACCTGCGCCTCCCACCTGTGCCCGCTTGTTACGTGTGCACAGCCGAGTTGGTTTATGAGAGGCCGATGAAGATACTCTGTAGGTTAAGCTAGAATATTGAATTGTGGGGGGAGCTATTATGATTACATTCCTTCCCCAACAGAGTGATTTGGACTTCAGTTCCCATCAGTCCCAGTTGGCTTGGCTTAATAGTGGCCAGGGAGCCTTGGTATTTGGGTCTGGTCCCAAGCCGGGGGAAGATGAGGTAGGACAGCTCCGGCTTGGACTTTCATGGCCAAGCAATTTGACTCTGCCGTGAGGATTCCAGATTTCAAAAACGGATGTTCTGCTTTCCGTGGCACATAATTAATCTGCGGAAGTCGTTTTACCTGGCTTTCAAGGCTGGGTTAAACAAATACACGAGTGATAAATCTGTCGAAGGCTCCTCGCCCCGATGGCTGGATGAAATCGCCAGTGAAAACCACAACCACTTAAAGATTAAGGAATTTATTCTGGCCTGAGTTTTCATGGACTATAACGCACTAAAATTGAGCTCGTGTTTACAGAGCCACGAGGCTCTTGTTCATTTTGCTGCAGCAGACTAATGCAGCTGCTGTGTTGACTATCCCTCGGAGCACGGCAGAGGAGTGTAGGAAGAGCTATGCTGGACCAGAGCGAGGCCCATCCCCTTGAGCCTTCCGTGGACACAGAGGCCAGCCAGCTCCTGCCCGCTACCCACATTCCCCGACTGCCCACTACTGCGCACAGGCTTCCGATACAGGTGGAGCCTACTGCTTTGGGGGCTAGAAACCCCTGGTAGCTGCCTTCTCCGTGATTTTGTCCAACCCCTTCTCAAGCCATCCAAACTGGGGACTGTCACTTGGCCCTGCTGTAGTATGTTCCATAGCCATGGGCTCTGTGAAGTCCTTCTTACCTGAAGCTCCTCCATGGAATGACCGCTTCGGGTTCTAGAAGAACAGCGGAAAAGGGCTGTTTTCTCTAAGCCGGGCATCTATCGCAAGATCTACTTGGCCAGCTTGAGAAAGGTGACTGAACCAGGTTTGCCCCTTCGAAGGATCGGCACTTGTTGAATAATGCCTGAACTCAGTAGTATTTTTCTTGCCTCACTTCCCTTCTCAAAAACCAGGTCATCCCTCAGCTCATTGCTAGAATTGATACGCCTCGTCCTTTGGTGGGCCGACTGATTTACCAGCTTCTCACCGACATTGGCAGGTACCACCCACAGGTGAGTCCTTCCTCCGCTGCCCCTCCGACCCTCTTCAGGCTCCAGACTGCAGACAAGGTCCATTTATAAATGACTGTTTTCTGATATTTGCCTTAGGCTTTGATCTACCCGTTGACCGTAGCTTCAAAGTCGACAACCACCGCCCGTCACAACGCTGCCAACAAGATCCTTAAGAATATGTGTGAACACAGTAACACGCTAGTCCAGCAAGCCATGATGGTGAGTGCTGCCTGCGCCCTCACATTTTTTTATTATTATTATTATTATTATAACATTACTATGCCGCCCCTTGCCGAAACCTCGGGGCGGCTTACAACACGATAAAATACATTGAAATACAATAGCACATAATAAATTACCATTAAATACAAAAAATACATTGATTTACAAATATAAGATTAAATTATCAGTATAAATTAAGTAAATAAAAATATAGGAGGAGAAAGAGAAGGAAGAAGAAGTTGCCCTGGCCAGATCATATGTTTTAACAATTAAAATGATGTTTAAATAAAAAGGTCTTTACCTGGCGCCGAAAAACCAGTAACGACGGTGCCATTTCTCTTGCCTACGCTCCACACCAGTGCGCTGGAGAAAGCTGCTATCTGCTCATTGTTACGCATTCATTTCGGTTTTCCTCCCAAAGCTCTGCTTGGGTTGTATCATTTTAATTAATATGTCTCTCCACCTTGCAGTTCAGGAGTCAAAGTAATAATTATGTGGCTTGCCTTTGTACAAACATTCTCCCCCTTGTTCTTTAAAACAATTTCAATTATGCGTTCCAAGCATGGCTCCGCTTAGCCTGCACGGGTTGGTGTATTTAATGTTAAGCCTGCAGAATGTGAAATGAGCCGATCGAGGGCAGAATCGGTGCGCTGGCCGGTTTATTATTTTCCAGGAAAAGGCAAGCCCATCATCCACTGATCCTGCTGGTGCCCCGCCCCTGATGGGTGTGGTGGGCGCCCTGGTTCTGGGTCTGGTGTATGTAATGTAATGCTCACTGTCCTCACTCAGAGCTGGGGTTGCCCACCCCTTTCCAGGAAGCATCGGCTTGGCCGTGGTGATAGCTATCCTTGATACGTTCTGTTGTTTTTTAACCAAAAGTCCCCCTGGCCTTCTTTCTTGGTATTTTGCATTTCAAAGCGAAAAGGTGTCACCCCGGGAAGATTTTACATTCGCAAGGCTCACACAGGAAAGGTGCTTTGAGCCTTTTCTGGCCCTCCCTCTAGCATCAGCCCAGGAGTGCTGTTGTCTGTGCTGATTCTCTATGATCCAGACTTTTTAAATATATATTTTAAAAAATCATTCTACTCAAATCTTCAGAGGACCTGCTCTCTGGGGAGAGCAGGGGTTGTAGCCGCTGGTTTGAGGAATGCAGATTCAAACAGAGAGCCCACAGCTTGCGGGATCTGCATCTCTCCTGGTGGTCTTCGTTTAGGGTTCCTCCATATAAAGGAGTAGGAAAGATCCCCCGCATGGGAGAACCTTTGCCACAAGGGACGACCTGGATTAGATTAAATAGTTCCCGTTGCCGGTATGTAAGGCAATGACTTGCGTTTCCTCTCCCATCCAGGTGAGCGAAGAACTGATCCGTGTAGCCATCCTGTGGCACGAGATGTGGCACGAAGGGCTGGAAGAGGCGTCTCGCCTCTATTTCGGGGAGCGGAACGTTAAGGGGATGTTCGAAGTGCTGGAGCCACTGCATGCGATGATGGAGCGTGGGCCCCAGACGCTCAAGGAGACCTCCTTCAATCAGGTATAAATGGATGTTAAAGCGATCCTGATTCCCTGAAGACAGAGTGGTGTGCAACCCAAAGAGTTCAGCTTTGTAATTGAGAAAGTTCTCCAGCTTCAGTTTCTAGGCCTACAACAAATGAAAATATGTTGCAACCTCACTCTTTTTGCTTCATGGCCCACTGTGTCTCCCTTAAACTGCCGGCAACTAGTAAGCTGCTGGAGCCTCAACTGAGGATTAGGACCAAGGCTGGACTACATGTCACCTTCCAGGTGCTTTGGCCTACAACTCCCACAGTGCCACACCATTGGCTGTGGGCTGATGGGAGTTGTAGGCTGCGACAGGAGCCCCAAACGTTCCATTCCTGCTATTAGAGCATAACCACAGAATGAAGGGCTTAAATTCTTCGTGGTCGTTGCAAATCCTGCATAGTGGCTTTACATCTGTGTGGGACCTCATTTCAGGAAGCGTCCATGGTGGAGAGATATTTTTTTTTAATAAGTTTTATTAAAATTTTTAAACACTAAAAACATTAACCATCAATTACATCAGACATACTGGGTCAGCCCCCTACTCATTTTTTCTTTCTTTTTAACATTCCTTAGTCATATTCAAATCCATTTATAATAACTTGAAAGCATATTTAAATCTAAGCCAAGTCCAAAAAAAAAAACCATGTTTAAATCTATGCAAAGTTCCGTTTCTCTAGCCAATAATAAAGGAAAAGATCTCCAAGTGTGATAGAAGTCAGTATCTTCTTATTCACGGTGGAGAGATTTTTGACAGAAACCTTTCCCTGCTCTCATAGTACCTCTGTATTTATCTATTTATTTATTATTTATTTAGAATTTTTGTATGCCGTCCCATCGCAAAGCCTCGGGACAGCTTGCATCAAAGCCTCTGTACCCAACAGGTTCTCTGCAAGTGCCTTTGTGGCTCCCTCACGGAAGCTCATTCTTGTATTTCACCTTACCGAGGTTCTGAGTCTTTCTCTCTTTGTATCTTGGGCTCATTCATCAGGCTTATGGCAGAGATCTGATGGAAGCCCAGGAGTGGTGCAGGAAGTACATGAAATCTGGGAACGTCAAGGACCTCACTCAGGCTTGGGATCTGTATTACCACGTCTTTCGGCGCATCTCCAAGCAACTGCCTCAGGTGTGGCAGGGTGGGGAGGTAGAGCTTTTCCCCAGCGGGGCTGTGCCACTGGCCTGCATTCCTTCCAAGCACCTGCATGGGAACACCGTCCTTTGTTTAATTCTTTGTTTTGCTCCCTCACCGGTAGCTGACCTCCTTGGAGCTCCAGTACGTTTCACCAAAACTGCTGAAGTGCCGAGATCTGGAACTGGCCGTGCCGGGGACATACGACCCCAACCAGCAAATCATCCGCATCCAATCCATTGCTCCGTCGCTCCAAGTGATCACGTCTAAGCAGAGGCCGAGGAAATTAACTCTAATGGGTGAGAACTTGGCTCTGATGTGGGGAGGGGTGGACAAGAGGCAGGCCTACCTTCGCACTTGGTTTTCCCCTCTGCTCTTCAACTGCTGGGGGCGGGGGGAGTGATGGAGGACCCACGGAGATGAAAAGACCCTGGGTTCCAGGCTCACTTGTGGGATGCCTGGAAAGAGCTTGCTGGCCCCTGTGGGAAACAGGATACTGGACAGCGAAGGGCTCCAGTTAAGAGTTTTGGACTCTGGAGAGCTGGGCTCAATTTCCCACTTGGTTGCGAAGTTTGTGTTGTGATTTTGCATCAGTTGCTGACAGCCAACCTCACAGGGTCGTTGTGAGAATAAAACGGAGCGGAGGCGGAAGGCCATGGGTTCCCTGGAGGAAAGGGGGCCAATCTAAACATAGCAAGAGAGAAGGAAAGAGGGCGCACCAGGCCCTTCCCAGCAGAGGGTTGCTTGCATCGTATCTGGAGGGCAGATTCCTCCCGGGGTCTTGCAGTCTTCATGTGGATTTACCTGCCTTAAGAGAGGCCCCCTTTCTCACACAGGAAGCAATGGGCACGAGTTCGTGTTCCTCCTGAAGGGCCACGAGGACCTGCGTCAGGATGAGAGAGTGATGCAGCTCTTCGGGCTCGTGAACACCCTGCTGGCCAACGACCCGACGTCTCTCCGCAAAAACCTGAGGTGCTCTCAGGAAACCGCCTCTGGCCCTTGGGGAGAAGGGCTGGGCGGGGCCAGGCTGCTCTCTGCAGGAGTCATCTTAGCTTCGCATAATCCTCCCGGAGAAGATTTGTGGGTTCCCCCCCGCCCAGACTTCTAAAATAAGTTTTATTTGAAATTATAATCCTAAAAAACAAAGAAAAACTAAAAGCAACATTAATCATCAAAAACATCGGGCCTGCTGGGTCAGCCCCCACACCCTTCCTTTTCCATTTATGATAACTTAAAAACATATTTGAATCAATGCGAAGTCCCGTTTCTCTAGCCAATAATAAAAAGAGTCCCAAGTTTGACAGAAGTCAGTATCTTCCTTCCCAGAGAAGATTTGTTGTTGGCAGATCTAAGAAAAAGCCACACGCCTCCTGCTGTTTCTCCGGGTCCTTGAGCTGGGGCACTTTGATTCGCAGGCCCCGCCCCTCTTAAAAGCACGGGTGCCCTTCTCGCTCTCGTTCCAGCATCCAGCGGTACGCCGTGATCCCGCTTTCCACCAACTCGGGGCTTATCGGCTGGGTGCCTCACTGCGACACTCTGCACGCGCTCATCCGGGACTACCGGGAGAAGAAGAAGATCTTGCTCAACATTGAGCACCGCATCATGCTGAGGGTAAGGCCGTGGCTGCCGCAGGGGATTCTGGGCGCTGCGTGGAGGAAGAGTGCGTGGAGGCCTGGCCAGCCGGTCGGCAGCAAGCAAGGCTTGGCGGACTTCCCGATTTCTCCCTGCTATCTTTCCTCCTCTCGAGGGAGCAGCACAGCCGCCAAATGTTGTTTCTCCCCTCCCTTTCCAGATGGCGCCTGACTATGATCATCTCACCCTGATGCAGAAGGTGGAGGTTTTCGAACACGCTGTGAACAACACCGCCGGCGATGACCTTGCCAAGCTCCTGTGGCTGAAGAGTCCCAGCTCTGAGGTACAGCCAGCTCAGGCCGCGTGCGCTCGCTCTGCAACACCCCCGTCCACAGGCACGCCAGGGAACAGCTCACCGAAGCCCCTGGAGCTCAGTCCTCCAGGACTGACGTTGGATGGGTTTGCACAAACCTCAGGTCCTGCTCTGCATGGGTGGAGAAGAGCTTCTATGGGTGGAGAATTGCTTCTGGATGGGTGGAGAAGAGCTCCTATAGCCAGCTGACCTCCCACATTTCCAGCTCTGAGCGTGCCTGAGCTGGGTGTGACATTGGAACCCTGCAACCCAGGAAATGAGGAACAACGTTAGAACGACGTTTGTGGTGAAGCCCACAAAGTTACAGCTCTTTGAGTCGTGGTTTTGGAGGGGTGTCTGAACCACCCCGACAAAGTAGAGAGCGTCAAGAACAGCTGCTCAGAGAGGGGTTGGGGGACTGTACAGACGCCGAGAAACCTTGCAGCATTCGGTGGGGTGGAGACGTCGCTTGTGCCGTGGAGGCAGGCCAGGCTGAGATTAGATCTCACTGGATTTGAGATCTATTTGTGATGGAAAATAGACTCCCCCCCGCCACCCCCATCTCTAGTTGCCTTTTCCTGCCATAAATTGAACAGCTTTCATAGTTGCTCCTTGACAGCACCCCCCACCCCAAAATCGATTTTCTGGCAGGCCTGTTTCATTCCATCCTTTGATTCACGCCAGGATCTGTCTTCTTTCTCAGGTGTGGTTTGACAGAAGAACAAATTACACTCGTTCGTTAGCCGTGATGTCAATGGTCGGCTATATTTTGGGGCTGGGTGACAGGCAAGTGAAACCAAACATGTTTTCCTTAAAAAAATTAAAGGCATTCTATAATTGGAAGCCTTGTCGGCTGTGAGCAAGACCTCTGAGCCATAGAATATACTCTCCCTCATCTCAATGGATCAACCCACTACCTTTAAAGTACTTGGACCAATATGTAAAATTTGCAACCAAACATTTAAAATATGTCAGCCAGTATTTCAAGCTGCTTTTCCATGGAGGGGCAAATGGGAAGCGTAAGCATTTATTTGCATATTTTTTAAACAAAATGGATAGATTGCTCTATTTTAAAAGGATTGTCAAACAGTGAACAGTAAAGGAGGGTGGAATGAAAGCACAGGAGTATAAATTAATTTTAAATCAGGTTATCCCAATAGAACTGTGACTGGTGCTTCAAGAAAAGCAGCCCCTTGTTTGAATAAAGGTGTCCTTAGTAGGCACAGAAAGCAAACGCACTGTCAACTGGGGAGAAATTCATCGCAGTCTCAGCTCACGTAGGCAAAATCACAGTAGGGAAGGGGTAGGCGACCCCTTCCAAATGGTATTGGACCACAGCTCCCATCAGCCACAGGAAGCTTGGCCATTGACTCTAGGGGCTGTGGGAGCTACGGTACCTGGTGGAGGGGAGAGGTTGCCTGAACCTGCAGCTGGGCATGGGGAACAGGAGGGGTTGTGTGGGCGTAACTGACCTGGCTGCGGTGTTGGTCCTTCTCCAGGCACCCCTCCAACCTCATGCTTGACAGACTGAGTGGCAAGATCCTGCACATCGACTTTGGAGACTGCTTTGAGGTAACGTGTACCTGGATTTCGGCTGAGAGGGCCGTGGCTATCGGGCAGTAGAAAAATACAGTGAATGCCTGAAATACATAAAAGCAAGTTGGTTTTGTAGAATAAACGTACGGCCTTCTTCAACACCCAGGGCCCAAGCAGTGTCTCTCCTCAATCTTGGCTTTAGGTTGCAATGACCAGAGAGAAGTTTCCGGAGAAGATTCCTTTCAGGCTGACAAGGATGCTGACAAACGCTATGGAGGTAACTGAGAATCCACAGTTACTGGTTTGCAAGCAGTCGAAAAGCATTTCTTAGAGCAGAACCGCATGACGCAAGAACACCAAAGGGGAAGACCTGAGATCTTGGATTTTTAAAGCAAAAGCATTGGCTGTGCCTTTAATATCAAGCCAAACTTTGCTTCATTTCTTGGCCTAGAATCTGGGGAGCTAGAGTGAGAACGTGTGAACGGTTCCTAGTCTATAAACCTGTGAATCAGAGTATGTGAGGCTCTGATGTAAATTGCCCAGATGGGCCCTTCCATTATCCATGGATCCAGTTTTCTCACTTCTGTACATCCCCCCCACACACACAAAAGGTGGAAATACCCCTGCTTAGAATTAATTATTGGCAGTAATAAAGCTAGAATTAGCTAAAACTGGTTTGTGCTTTTGGCCCTTGCCTTTGGCCCAGCCTGCAACTGGCACAGGGGCCCGAGAAGCACCTCTGAAGCAGAAGCCAGCCCTTGCCCTTTCCCTGAAAGGGGTCCCCCGCGCCTGCCTGCTCTGCTGAAACTGTCGGGGTCTGCTCAGAAAGACAGCGCTGATTTGACTTCCTCTCTCCTTTCCCACCCCCAGGTGACTGGCTTAGATGGAAATTACAGAATCACCTGCCACACGGTAATGGAAGTTTTGCGAGAACACAAAGACAGCGTCATGGCCGTGCTGGAAGCCTTTGTGTACGACCCCTTGCTGAACTGGAGGCTGATGGACAGTAAGTTGCCCTGAAACAGAAGATGATCAAAGACAAGGATCGGTTTTAGGGATCCAGGTGCCCCGAAGCGTTGGTCTGCTGCGCAGTGTCCTGCTGACCAGTGCTGGATCAAAACAAGCATGATCTTAGGTAGCACAGATACTTTCTCCCAGACTTCATTATCTGAAACGGAACGAGATGTAGCCTTCTGCAGCATGCAGGAGAACAGACGATTCAGAAGAAGAACCTTTCATGTGGACGTCTTTATTTTCTTTGCAGCAAACACGAAAGGCACTAAGCGGTCACGAACGAGGACGGACTCCTACTCTGCTAGCCAGTCTGTAGGTGGGTATTAGCCAAACGGCCGCTTCGTTTTCTATGTACTGTACTCCTCACTGGGTGGAGTAAAGCCATTTGAATTCCTTCGTCTTCCCCTACGTTCCTTGGACTGTGATGAAAAGGAATGTTGGCCAAACCGAAAGCTGACCTTAAATCTTCTCTTCTTGGCCCCTTCTAACGATGAAATAGAAGCGGAACTGCCCTGAGAGCAGTTGGGGGAAATGAGAGCCCCAGCGCTGCTGAGGTTGTTCCGTGGCGTCTGAGCGCAGCACAGAGCATCCCCTTCACTTACTGATGGGCAGGTGTTTCCCCCAGGATGTTCCCCAGGATGCAGCCCCACCAGCCTCAGTAAAGCTATTGATCTGGCCTGCATACCACAGCTCCTCAATATCTGCTCGAACCCTACGTAGTCATCAACAAACTGGCGAGCTGGCTCCCAGCTGCTCTTGCTCAGTTAAAAACCCGCTCAGGGATGCTTGGTCCCTTACGAGCTTTTCAGGATGAAAAGACCTGGAATTGCGGGTTGTTGCAGAGCCGCCGACCCACAGTGGAAACCCATACTTAGGACCCGTTCCTGGGTTATTTAGCTCTGCTGTGTGAGCAATCAGATGGCAGGAGCTAGCACATCTGTGCTCACCGGCTCCATCCATAATGCTGTGTGAACCAGGGCCTTCTCTGTCTTGCTCTGTGAGAACAAAGCGGCCGATAGCCAAAGCCCAGCCTTTGTCGATGGCCGCTTGAAGTGGCACGAAAGAGAGGTTTATCCCTGGGAGAAGAACCGTTTGCCTGATATCTGACCATTCTCCTTTCTTATTAGAAATGTTGGACAATGTGGAGCTTGGTGAGACCGCCCATAAGAAACCTGGGACCACGGTGCCTGAATCTATCCATTCCTTTAGTAAGTGCACCCCGACTCGCCCCGGCTGCTAAGTCCCCTTAATATCATTGCGCTCATATAATGGTATCGTGTTAGCATGTGTCATAAGCAAGAATTCTTTAAAATAGGAATAATGCATGCACATTTTAAAAAAGCAGGTGTGATCCATCCACATTTCACAGTATGTTTCTGGTCTGCTGTGGGACTGAATTGCTCAAAGTGCGGAAGGCAAATGTCTGGCAGTATGAGAGAGGGAAGAAAGGGGGACAGTCTTGTCTCAGACCACAGGGTCTGCCTAGTCCAGGATCCCACAGGAACATAGAATGTTGCCTTTGATGCCTCCACATTCTTGGCCCATCTAGGCCGGGACTCTGGGCACTGGCTGGCAGCAGCTCCCCAGAAATTTTTTCCAGCCCGTCCTGGAGATGCTGCAGACTCAACCTGGGGCCTTTTTCATGCAGAGCTGCAACCCCTCCCCATTTCTCACAAGTCCCCACCGGGCAGCTCCAACAAGCTGTGAAGACCGGTGTCAAGATCACGCTGCTTCCCTGTGTCCAGTGGCTGGGCATGTCCAGTGGCCAGGGAGAACGGGAGTGGAAATCCAAACATCTGGAGGTCCATTTTCTGCCCGCTGCTGCTCTAAGCGCACGGTCATTGCACCATTATTGAGGAAGGAAATTCCTACTTCTGTATTGTGTGAATAGGCATCGCATGATGTTTGCCCTGCATCTGTTACCTATCCATTCTGTTGGATGCTCCCAAGCTCCAGAAAGGGGGGAAGAATTTTTTGATCCCCCCTACCATACAAAATCTTGCAAACCCCAGTCATGTTCCCACATGGTCACCTAGTTTAGCTTTTAAACTAAAAAGCCCCAGATACTTGAAATTTCTTCTGACAGAGCGGGTTCTCAACCCTCCAGTCACCCCCTTCTGTATACGAAACAGGGATGCCTAAACCTGGGCAGGGGGTGCTGCGACTGGCAGTGCTTCCTTTTCTAGCCAGTGTCGCAGGAACGGGGCTTTGCGATGTAATGATGCAGCTCTTTGCTCCCGTTTATGTTCTCTAGTAGGGGATGGCCTTGTGAAACCCGAGGCGCTGAATAAGAAGGCCATTCAGATCATCAACAGGGTCCGCGACAAGCTAACCGGTAAGTTCTTTCTTTCAAAGCACATGGAACTCGGGGAGCTTTTCAGCGTCACTTGTGATGCCTGTGTTGCCGTCACTGCGCATAGCAGTTTGCCGACCACAGGAGGACAGGTCCCTGCCCCAAGAAGCTTGCATTCTAAAATCCAAGATAGGAGAAATGACGGAGGGCAGTGGACGGGAGCATATGTAGGGGAGCGGTATCCGTTTGCCCCGGCTGGGTGTGTTTTAGCTGGGTGACGGTAAGGCAAGGGAGCGTGCGAGGAGAACGGTGGGTTTTGAGGAAGGAATTGATTGAAGTAGCAGAGGCAGCTTCATCTTGGTGTCCTGCGAGAGACAGGTCCAGGCAGGGGAGAGAGGATAAAGACTTTTAGGGAGCAGGAGATGTTCTCCAGAATGCCTCTGAGGGAGGTTTGCCATCCCGGTTTTATCACCAACAATCCCTCCCACTCTCCTCCTCTGCACTGGACTTGGTTCGAGAAGGGCAACAGGTGCAGCTTGTGAACCCCCCTAACCCTTCTCCCCTGCTCCCCCCTTTTCCCAAGGGCGCGACTTCTCCCACGATGAAACGCTGGACGTGCCCACACAGGTGGAGCTGCTCATCAAGCAGGCCACCTCCCACGAGAACCTCTGCCAGTGCTACATCGGATGGTGAGTCGGTGGCGCCTCTGTCGGTTCCGCACGTGAAGCAGCTTGCTCCGTGCCTTCTCTCTCCGAGGCCTCTAAATGGGAGGGAAGCACAGCCAGCTCTTTCACCCGATTCTTTAATAGTCCCTTCTCATGAAGAGGTGTGCCTCTTGCTGGTTCCATGCATTTTGAACGATTTCCTTGGCAACTTTTTCCCGGAGTCAATATTGACTTGCCATTAAGGGTTGCTGCTTTTTCTTTGCTTTGCTATAAGATGATTTTAATGGAATATGGATCATGATTTGTGAATTTACGTGTTGGAAGTTGCCTTAAGATGATTTGCCTCTTAAAGGCGGAATGTTTAAAATGTTACAGAAGTGTTCTTTAAACTATGAGAAGTAACAATACGAGGGCTAGTTAGGAGCTCAGGAGGCGTCTTGCCTTGAGTCAGGCTCTTGGCCCACCTAGCCTTACAGTGTTGACTCTGGCTGGCAGCAGCTGTCGAGGTTTCGGGCAGGAGTTTGGAGATGCTGGGATTTTGTGTTGGTCAGGCAAGTCTTGCTGCAGCTGTGCTGGTCCATGTTGCTGGGTTTTTGCTGGTGGAGACCAGCTGGGTCTTTTAGAAGAGTTGTCTTTAAAGCACTGCCAAGGCACTCTGTGGTTAATCCGATTGCTTCTTGGGAGTTGTCCTTGTTAGCTGGTCCAGCGAGGCATCGTAGGCAGGCCACAGGTGCAGGCTGCTGGCCGTTCTCACTACTGTGAACTCCGTGGGTGGAATAAAACTCAGCTCACTCCACTGCACCAACGAGGCCTTCATGTCCAAAGCAGGGGTCCCTCTACTCCAGCATTTGGCTCCCGCCGTGACCTACCAGCTGCCCCATGCGAATGGCCCCATCGCGCTTTCCCGCTTATTTATTTTCACATTTGTATGCCACCCCATGCTCCCAAGTGGAGTTGGCTCTCCCTCCAATGTATACAGAACCACACCGACTCTGACCCTGGAGTGGATGGAGCACCCGCAGGAGCAGCTGCGCTCGGTATCCACCCTCTCCATAAAATTGCCTCTTCCCGTTTCATGCCATCTTGCCCGGTGACCACCATGTTTTGTGGAAACAAGCTGGGTACTTCAGTGCCGCGTCTTCCCACTCATCTCGTTACTCCTCTGGTCTTGATGTGCTTTGTACATGGTTGACGACGTGGTTCTGGAGTTGGGTTTTTTAAACCTCATTTTCCTTGGAAGAGCAGACAGGTCTCTCATCTCTATCACAGACTGTCTTCGAAACTTCAGAACGAGATTTGCCGGGTTGTGTGGGATGTCAATCAATTTATGGGCCTTTGTTTCACGTTTTCTCTTCTTTCCTTCCTTCCTTCCTTCCTTCCTTCCTCCCTTTCCCCCTTCAGGTGCCCTTTTTGGTAATTGAAGACTTGTGATGACGCACTTAGAGCCTTTCAGAGGCTTTGCATTCCAAGTTTGTTCTCCTCAAAAGTGAGAATTAGGATGGGAGAAACTAGGTCTGTGGTCAGGCTGCAGAGACTGCCTTTGTCAAATATTTTGAACTATAAATGAGAAAACTGAACTGTATATATTAAAAATTGTTTCAAGCTGACTTAGAGCTGCTGTTTTCGGGGGGTGGGCTGAGCCATCATGAAACACAGGGGGTTTCAAAGTGTTTAAAACAAAACTGAAGCATAGCGACCAAATAATTGCTAAGAATAATTTGGTCTTTGGGGAGTAACTTGGCAGAAAGACCGTCTCTTACGACAGACTTGGATACAAGCATATTGGTATTGTGACTGACCAATGATGAATTCATGGGTGTGACTCCAAGTGACCTTGCTTCAGTTTGGGACGGTGCAGAGCACCTGAAAACCTGCTCTCTTGCTCTTGGGTTGAATTGCCTGCCTCGAAACTTCAGCCCAGACTAGACTGTGATGGATGCTTGTGGTGATCACACACATATAGCATGTTTCTGCATGGAAGGGCCCGAAGAAACTATCTTTAGGAGCAGAGCATTGCAGTAGGGATGGACATTTGCAGAATGTAGGTTTTGTGCATCTGGAGGAATTTTCCATGCTGGCACTGAGTGAAAAGGAAAAGAAAAAAATCTAGGGGGAAGCATTAACGTCAAGTGTAAAACGTCAAGCAGTTATGGGTTTGGAAGAGGGGGAAATGAGTGCTTAAAACACGCGGGCGAATGCCTGCGGTTGTTACTTTATTTAATAAAAAAGCAAAATGCACACGTTGTACCCATTTTAGATTCCATGTTGTAGTCTAATATTTTTGTGCCAATAAAGTACAACTGTGTAAACCTGTATTCTAAATGTGTTTATTTTTAATGTGTTTTCCTGCACAAAAGGAGGAGGTTTTACAAGCAAGAAAACTTTCCTGGCCTGATTTCATATATAAAGTGGTACAGTCTTCTCCCAGGGGATCATATGATTTCAGTATTTTCTTTGGGAGTCATGAATTGAATTGGGAAACAGCCTCCCAGCAGCAGTAGGCCTGGCACCTTCCCTGTAATCTTTTTGGTACCAAGTGAAAAGAGTTTTATTCTCTAGGTATTTTAATCCTTGATTTTATTTGGAAAAAATTTAAGTTGTTAATATGGATCGTTTTGACTTAATGTGCCCTCGGCTGTGCACTGTTTTGTCTTATTGTTTTTTGTATATTGCATTTTTAATTACTGCATTTATTGTTGTATGCTTCATGGATTATAATCAGCTTAGATGGCCTTTGGGCTGATTCAGCAGATAAGTAAATAAATAAACAAACACATAAATACCAATACACACACAAATGTTTTTTTTTAAAGTCCCTAGCATGCCAAAATTGAAGACATGAAAAAAAGCTTCAATTTTTGAACAGCTCCGCCTCTCCCAAAAGGAGAGGTAATTTGTATTTCTGTTTACCATATAGCATTTTGAGATCACAGTGCAGCAAAAAGGTTTGTAGTTCTCTTCCAAAGTAACAAATTCAAATATAACCAGATCGTTAAAATAGGGGAACTGAGATAGGAATGTTGCATGTTTATTTAAGTTGATTTCACTGTTCCCATAAAGTTTCTGGTGTCAATTGCAACTCCACTGACAGCACACCCCAGTAATAAAAGACAAGTTTTAAATATTTTGAACGTAACTTTCAAATCAAGCTGGAATCCTGTATACCTGGAAGGAAGCCCCACCGAACTCAATGGCGCTTACTTGTGAATTGACGTACAGACGGTAAGTGGCTCTGTTATTCAGTTGTTGTTGTTTTCGTACCACCTCCAGCCAAAGCTCTCTGGGCAGGGCAGCTAATTATTCGAAGGAGGCAGTACAGAGTTTGCCAGCAGCTTCCTGGCAGCAAATGGGCGTGAGCACACTTTGTAGATTCAATGCACGGGCCACAAGGGTGCCCACCCACCTGCCCACCTGATCCCCCACCCCACCGCCCCAAGCTCCAGAAAGACAGGATAAGCTCTTCCAACTCTCCTGCACAGCAGTGCTGACCAACTGTCTTGCCAAAGAGTGTTTGGGATCCACGCGTGTTCATCCCTTCGCACGCGCTTCGACAAGTGTGCTGGAGGGCAGTGACGAGGGAGTCACACTCGCGGATGGAGTAACTGAGGAGGAGGAGGAGAGGAACTCTGCACGTGCTCATGTCATTTCTTCATGGCTCAACTGCTGAAGCTCTTGGGGCAGTTCACAAGGGTTCGTAAAAACACGGGTGTCACGAATTCACTCCCTGTGGTATGTTTAGATGCGGTATTTCTTTAACCTCCTTTGATAATTCCCTCTTTCTCTCAGTATGTAATCACTGCCACCAGGAATTTAATTCCGATCTTTTAAATTAACTTCTTCCACAATATTGTGCCCAAGCTATAAGGCTCCTTCACTGGTCTACATGGTCCTGAGAATGAGACGCTGGTATTGCAGCAGCCTATGACTGACATGGGTCTCCTCTGAGAGAACAATACGCGGAACAAATGTTTATTTGACAATAAATCCAGTAACTTAGGATAAAACAATGTGTGATAACAACTTGAGTGTGATGACACGCTCTCAAAATCTTCCCTTCATTTCTGAATGTATTTTGGCCCGTCTTTATTTAAAACTTACCAAAGTCTTGGGACAGTTTAACAGCAAGACAGAAAATAAAATTAAACACCCCATCCTAATCACAGCATCCTAATTTTATTTCTCTCTGTTCTAATCTTCCCTTCTGTACTCAAGTTTCAGTTAGCTTCTGTCAGTCACGCTCTTTAGGATGCTTGATAATATGAGGTTCTGACTCTCCCTAGTCATTAATATGTCCTCTATTCTACTTCTTGTAGGCTCTTCAATGCTTTTCACAGCATCATTGTGGAATTATAATGAAAAGGCCACTTTTTCAGCCTCTATGAACTGCTGACCGACCATGACAAACTCTTAACCGTCAGGGGAGGTTTAGTGCGAAGTTAACTGCTGATGGACTAAAAGATAAAATTCTCTCTCCTTGTACCTTTCCAAGCTCTGCCCGCACATCCTCAGTCCAGTCACTTCCCTCATCTCCCTCTTATCCTCCCTTGCTCTTTGGAAACTTACCAATCTTTAAAGGAACACACTGAAAACAGTACAACGGGCCACAAACACAATAAAAAGCAGGATCCCCCCCGCCCAAAAAAGCAGCATTCCAAAACAACAAAAACAGTATTTGGACCTGTTAAACACAGCGGTTATCAATGCCCCCAGCATGCCAGGAACTGTCCTTAAAGGCCGAGCACAAACTACTTATTGGTGCGTTCACTCAGGGGTGGAAAAAACCCCAAGCAAGAAGAGCGTAAACTGCCTTGTGTTTTGAGCTGAGAAAATGGAGGACTTTTCCTTCCCACACAGAACTGTCTCAGGTCAAGTGAGAGCTGCTGTCTTACTCCTTGCTAACCCATGTGTGAAGATCTTGAAGTCCTGTTGGGTCCTGCTTCATATCCAAACAACGCTGTTGCTCCTGTGTGCAGCAGCTGCAGATGTAGAGCTCAAAATTGGCAGAGAAGCTAGCACATGCCTGTTGCTGGGGAACATGAGCAGAAGGGCGCTGCTCCGCTTGTGAGGGACTCCTCAAGAGCAGCGGCAGGAATATATGCTCAGATCCACAGGGGGACACGACACCTCAGCCTCAAACCTCAGCACTTTCATTGGTGAGAACAACCTGGGTCACCCCCTCTGCACAGCACAAACCTACGACAGCACTGCTGGATAGAAGCACACCCCGAACTACAAAATGCCAGAACATATACAGAGTGTAGTATTGGGTACATACCAGCAGATGATGTGAAGAAACTGCAGAGGGGACATGACAGGCCAAGACCTTTTTATTACTGATTTTAAATGTTTACAGCCAGGGTGAATCCGGATTTTAATACATATTATTTATTTGCTTGTTTGTTTATTGTGTTGGTAGCTGTCCCGAGGCGCGTGCGAATGGGACGGCATACAAAAACTCCAAATAAATAAATAATAGTGCAGTAAATATCAGTGATTACACAGTACTGATAACGGCAAAGCGCAAGGGCCATGAAGAGGATTAACCTGGTAACTACATGTAGGAGTGGAGAGTCTTAATCTCTTAAAGGAACAGATGAGTGATAAAGCTTCAGAACAAAGGAGCCTGGCTTGGAATTCTGGTTCTTTCTGGGCAAGAGGCGCAGGGACACTGCAGGTCCGATGTTATATCACAAAGGCACATATAAGCAATCTTTCTCTCTAAAGAGTTATTTGGACCTCCTGACCTACTTACGGGATTCTGTAGGCATCTGATTGGACACTGACTGGTCTGATCCAGCAGGTTTCTTCAGATGTTTCTGTATTCACAATATCCGGAGCTGGGATATAAACTGCAGTACGCATTTCGAGGCAGTTGGGGGAAGTGTGTACAGAAATGATGGAAGGCATCCCATAAGGAGACCTTTTACCAGAAGCCATTGTCGTAATCAGCAAAGCTGTCACTCATGGCCCAATGTTCATCATAATCATCATCGCTGTCACCATAGTAGTCTTGAAAATAGCAATCAGTGTAGTTGTCCTCGTAATAACTTGAGGAGATGGTAATGCTACTTTTGGTGGTTTTCATGCGGTGTTTGAATGGCTCCCCTGTCATGTTTTTGCCTTGGTGTTGAAAAAGAATGTGGCGGACTCCAGGCGGGCAGAAGAAGGTGTGTGTAACCTGGAAGCCGGTGAGAAAGGGGGAAGCAAGGACTTGGGGTTAGTTCAGATTGCAGGATTAGTAGCAGGAAAGTACCCCTGCCCAAATTGGTGGTGTAGCGGTCAGTGTGGACGTTCAGGTGCCCCTCCTGAGAGTCCCCATAGCCCTGCTCCCATGCAGAGACCAGAAATGGAGGCAGCAGGTTAATTCTTGGCCAGCAGACCAGTCTGCACTTACTCTGATCCAGAAAATGCAAACTGAAAGTGTTGGGTTGCTCCTACAGAAGCTACAAGTTGCTGTCCTGAAATAGGCAAACAGCCAGGCATAGCTCGGCCACAGTGACAGGTGCTAATGACCTCTGGATTACTGTGATGCACTTTTTGTGGCTGCTCTTAGGCTGTTCGGAAGCTTGAGTGCATGTAGGATGCAGTAGCTCGGCCGTTGTTGAGAGCTGTCCCTTTTAATTGCAAAGGGAACTCTGCTGGCTGCGGATTTGCTACCGGGCCAGGTTTAAGACTCTGGTACTGGTGCATGAAGCCCCAAAACCATGTGGAACCAGAATACTGGAGGGAGCACCTTCTCCCTTACAAACCTGCCCTATCACTGACATTATTGGATGGCGTGTTTCCATTGGACCTATGCCCAACTGGAGTCTACATGAAGGACAACCTTCAGTGTGGTGGCTAGCTGTCTTTGGAGCTCCCTGCCTCCAGGTGGCTGACTTCGATGGGTATCTCCTGAAAGCACCTTTATTTCAGTAAGACTTCCTGAACTCACCAAGCACACTCAAATTGACAATTTTTTTAATGTCATGTATGCTTTGATCTGCTTTATCTCCTACTGTATCCCATTAGGAAGTCTCAAAACAGGAATATGGAATGAAGTAAAATAGTTGCAAGTGGAGAAATAAAGGGTCATTTTGAAGACCCAGAAGAAAACCACAGAGACATATCTAAGAAGAGTCCCAAACTCCTTTTCCAACCCCCAAACCTGAGTATACAAGGACCTGGACTTTGTAATATCTGATATGTAATTCTGTTGGGAAAATATTCTGCACCAGCGTCCTTTCTTTCGCATTCCATAAAGCCACAAAGAAACACGACTCAGCCTGAGGCCTCAGAAATTGCTTACAGAAAGAAGAGGGATGTATATAACCTAGCAGTCTGCAGTGTCGTCAGGTCCCAGCCTTTGAGGGCTGGATTCGCTCACCTGTTTTGGTGCCCTAGTGAGTCAATTGTCAGCTGAGACCCGACCGCCCCAAGAGCCTTGGAAACACCAGCGGGACAGCTCCTACCACAATGTGGTGTTGCTGGGGAAATCTCTCTGGCCTTTACTGTTCTGGGAATTGCAGCTAGGCTGCGAAGGAGTCAGCGATCGGAGGAAGGTGTGGGAGGCAGGTGAAGTAGCAGCTTCACTGATCAAAGCCTGGTTGGCTCCAGCGCCCAGCACACCACTTCTCTGCACCTGGCATACTTACCCGATGCCATTTTCCCGATCTGCGATGCCCTCCGTATCCATTTGTGAAAGAATGTTCTTTGAGAGTTGTGAAGTCTTCTGCCAGTAGCTTCACAGTGAGCTGGTACTCATTGCCAGGGGTGGAGTAAAACCTGCACGGAGAGAAAAAGGCGTCACAATCAGGTGCGACGGGATTTGAGCAGAGAAAGCCTCAGCCTTCCTCCCATGCCGAGCCGATGATGGAGGCAGCAGCAGGTGTTTGACGACTCCGGGTTGAAGAACAGGGATACTGGATGTCATCCTTGCCTCTTGCTTCCTGTTCTGTGTCACTTCTTAATGCGGAACTGATGAGGAACTTTTCGGGGACTCTGCATGGTGTGGAACTGATTTGAGGAAGGGGTTTAGCACCTTTAACATTCAGACTGAAACCTGGAGTGGATTCACCGAACCCTTATAGGCCATCTCCACCTACAGCTCCAGAGACCACTGAGACACGCTGGCCAGACGGGCTGTTGGAACGTCATGGTGCGATCTTGGGAAAGCAGCGTGTCCTTTCTAGGAGGTGGTAGTTCTCTTCAGAAGACCAGGCCTCCAAGCCTTGAGCAGATGTACAAGGGCTTTGGGCAGGGCAGGGCAGGCCACTGCCAGAACAATTCAGCGGCCGTGAAGTTCTCCAGGGTGCTGCAGCCCACGTCTGGTCAGAGCTGTTCCTCTTGGCCATCAAACCTACCTGTTACTTTGGATCTCCTAGAGACCTCAAGAGGGCTTGTCTCCTCCCCCCGTGTGCTCAACTCACCAATCTGTCACGTTAATGTCTGGTCTGGACTCATCCATCAGCTGGTCCCAGTAGCCGTGGTCCTTCAAGGTGATGCGCTGGGACTTGATGCAGAGTCTGAAAGCAGATGGGGGGCCCTTGAGGAAGCACCCTTACTGGTGGTTCAGGGTTTCCTCGATTCTAGACCAGAGGGTGGGCAGCTTCTGGCTCTCTCCACATATTTCTGCCTACCACTCCTGTCCATCCTTTCTCTCATAGTCAGTGGTGAAGGGGCATGGAATTTGTAAGCTGGAAAAACCGGAAGGGCCTGAGATACCCACTCCTGTTTTAGAGGGTCAGCAAATGGCATCTTTGGGTCAAGCCCAGACCCATGAAGCGTTCTTATCAGAGCTGGAGTTTTTATTGCACAGCCATCCCTGAAGGCACAAAGCGAAGCCCCTCAGTACTGCTCTTACTAATCTGACAACTGGAGGCCAGCTCCCCCGCCACCCCCCGAAGAATGTTTCCCAGCTTGTCCACAGGGTTGATAATGCAGAAGGAAACCATGGAGGTTGGGGGCTGCAGAATTTTCTAGCCACGCTCTCTGCAGAACCGGGAGCCAAATGCTCTACTGCTTTGGGGAAAAGGTGGTCTCCACCCATCCCCACCCTTTGGGGTTCCCAGTGACCCGCAGTCTCACCTTGCAGGGGGGTTGTGAGGGTAAAAGGGAGGCCACAGAGAATCTCTGATGAACGGGAAGTAGAATCCCTTCGCAGGTGAGTTCTAAAACCTATTCGATTCTGCAACTAAGCATCTCGGAGCTGAATTAGCATTTTTCCACCTCTTCCCCTTTCCTTCTGTGTCATATCCCTTAGAATGTCAGCCTTCGCGGCGTGGTGGGATAAATGGGATAAACAGATGGGTTTAGAATATATTAAAAGGAATTTAGATTAGGTGTTCATATGAATCGCTTTGCATTTATTTTGTTTTGATGTTTTAAAACTGTGTGTAGTGGGGAGGCAAAATTTCATGTGCATGAGAATTCTTACAGGGAAAATGGAATTCTTACTCAAAAGTAGCTATGGTACCTACCCATTATATGTAGCGAAACATTTGTTGACCTGATGTTGGGCCTTGTATTCCACTTCAGAATTCTTCATCAGAAAGTCGGTTGTTCGGACCTTCGTTTTTCCAAGTCCAGCAATCACTTCAACTTTCCACTCACCTTCGGAAGGTGTCTCAATTTCCCAGAAATCCAAGCCCTCTGTGGGGATGGGGAGGGGGACAGAAAGGGGAACAGTGAAGGGAGAGGCTTTGAATGGGTGTCTGTAGCAGAAGGAATCGTCCTTGTGAGGTGAAGGAAGTTGGTCCCAGGTCCTGGAGCAAGTCAGGCCATCATGAACCCATGGTCTGCTTTCAGATTCAGCCAAGGTTGTTAAACCCTTGGATAACCCACAGCCCTCGATTCAGGCAATACCCCCATAACACTCAAAATATATGTGAATATATTTTGTCCACTTGAACTGCAGCCAGTCGCCAAACGAGCTACAGTGGGTTGCATGATGATACGCCCTGGCCTAGGGCAGAGTGTGACTTTGAGTGGGTGGCTGTACCAGGTGAGTTAGTCCCTGCCAGGAGGAGGGCAAAGACCTCAGATCTTGGAGAAACCAAGTCCTTAGACTATGGAATGAGCCCCCTAGAGAGGCCCGCCTGGCACCGTCATTATATGCTTTTCGGCGCCAGGTCAAGACCTTTTTATTTGATCATCATTTTAATGTCAACCAGTTTTAATTGTATATGATTAATTTAATTTATTTTAAATATGTCAGTTTTATGCTCAGTTCATGGAATAACTGATTTATTTTGTTTAGGATTTAGAATTCTGCAAGCTGTCCAGAGACGACGGTGATGGGTGGCCTATACATTTCCTAAATAAATAAATAATAAAAATAAAAAGTATCAGAGTCACAACAAATGATTTCACTAAGATGGGCAGCATAGTGGCTACAGCACAGCTGGAAGGAAGACACAAACTTAATTTGTACATATTCCCCAAATAAAAACCAAAGATGGTCATTCAGTCAGAAGGACAGAGGTGGGCTTAGATCATATTTGGCTTTAGCTCGTGGGCAGTATATAAACAAAGCAAATAAAATTAATTGGAAATGCTTCCGGATGAAGATAGTTTAGGAAAGCATATATAAGAAAAAGCAGTCCTGCTGTTCTTATTTCCTTGTATTTACATCCTGCCTCTTTTCCTTTTGAGGAACCCAAAGCAGCTGACACAGCCTCCTTTTCTCTCAGGAAGGTGTTTATTTTCTGTCTTGCTTTTTAAGCTGGAGCATTCTTAAAACATGCAATCCCCCAGCCTGAAGGGGGACATTCCCAGTGGAATATACAAAACACTTTCAGAAAAGCCGTCCCGAGATACTTCTATAAAGGACAGCATACCAAAGCTTTTAATAAATAAATAAAAAACAATAAAAGCTCTTATCTATAGGTTTTCTGTCTGCTCAACTGAACAGGGACACGCACCTTCTCCACACGGGTTTTTGATTAAGTTCTTCTCCAAGTGGCAAAATAAGTAGTAGGCATCCTTGATGCCCTTGTTGAGATCTTTGCAGTTGTGCCGGTATTTGAGTTTCCACAGAAGCAGTGAGTCCACCAGCTCCCGCCACTGCAAGCAAACCAGCCGGCAGCTGCAAATGAGTTCCTTTGTGGGGACCAGAGACAGCACCTCCACCAAGATGTCTTCGGGTAAATCCCAGAAGTTTGCCATCTTCTTCACAGAGCTGCGAAAAAGAAACTAGGACGGGTGAGAAGAGAGCAGAGAGGAGCACCCACACCCAGTCCCTGGGTGGAAAACAGGGTGAGTACAAGCAAGGGGTCTTTTCAGGGGTGGCTCCACGTGCATTCAGTGGCTCATCACCCCCTTTCATGCAGATCTTCGGGAAGCCACTGGAGAGGGACGAACCTGGCCGCCTCATGATCAGTGGCCGGTGGGTTTCATTGGCGTAAGCTGTTCGTGCAGCGTTTGCTATTCTTGTGAAATTGGTCTGTTTCTAAGTTTTAGTGTGGTTTTCAAGCCTGGTGACCGTTTCCTTGAGGGGGTTGACTCTAAAGCAACCTAAAAAGGGTGTTAGAAAAGTAAATGACAAGTGGGTCTCCCCAGCAAAATGTCGGGGTGCCTCCGAGTCGTCATTCCAGCCATTGCAGGACATTCCCTGGTTTTCCTGCACCTCCAAAATAGCTATTCCTCTTTTCCTGCCCAATGAATGTGCTCAGTTTTTGTTGGCCTCTTAGATCTTTCTCGTTTTATTTTTATTTATTTATTTTTATTTATTTCTTTATTATGTATATCTTGCCTTTTTCCTACAAAGAGCTCAAGGCAGCTTACATCATTCTCCCCCTCCATCTTATCCCCACAACAACAACCCTGTGAGGTTGGTTGGGCTGAGAGTCTGTGACTGGCCCAAAGTCACCCAGTTGGCTCCATGGCTGAGCGGGGACTCGAACCCGGATCGTCTGAGTCCCAGTCCCAATCCCATGCTCTTAACCACTACACCACACTGGCTCTCACCTTTTTTTTGTGAGAAAAAATTTTGTCACCTTTTCCCTCCCCCGTGTGTCCATATTTTATGGGTGAGGGAGACACAGTTGTGCCCATCCTGGCTGCATTAAGGGAAGTGTGGGGGAGGGACTCCAGGAAGACTTTTGTGGATGCCTTCACACTTCAGATGGCTTAAACTTGGGGCCATAAGTGGGGATAATGAGAATGACCCTTTGCACATGCCCAGTGGCAACATCAGCACTCTCTTATGCTGCCAAACTTTCCTGGGGGTAAGCCCAGCGGTGCAGCTAGGAATTGACCTTGGGGACAAAGTCTAGAGCCCCATGGCACATGGTCCCAGCCCCCAAGAGACCACTCAGAGTAGCAGGAGCAGACAGAAACTCCCATTTTCCTCCTGGATTGTTTACAAACACAGGGCTGGCTGTTTTATCGCTGTCCTGATGTGACCGGGACGAAGAAGCACTTCCAAAGCCCCAAGTGGCAGCTAGAGAAAGCAGAGAATCTGAGATGTGAGCTTAGCGGGTATCTTGACACCCCCTTCTCCCACCCTAATAAGGCTATTCAATTAAAATTACTCAGTTGCCGCCCTTAAAATTACCTCTCTTGCCCAGAAAGCACATTAACTCCAGGCTTTACAGGAAAGCATCCTGTGGATGCCTGCCAAGCCAGCCCCTGCCCCACACCCCAAAATGCCGCTCCGCGGGTTACCTGGCTCTGCAGGACACGGAAGGCAGTTGGGGTCCCCTGCGAGGAAGGCTCGGCTGTGCCCAGTTCAGCTGAAGGCAGGAGAAAGGAATCGAAAGTGATTCTCATGTGCAGTTTCAGGAAATGCCCCCACCCCTCGCTGGGCTGCCTGCCAGACTGGCATTGTGGTTGAAAGAAGAATCAGAATGCCCTCCTTCCGTCCGAGATAACGCGAAGCATACAGATGTAGCCTCAAAAGATATACCTAGGGAGTGCCAGCGTTTGTATTCTGCATTAGAGAGGAGGAATAGGGAGACTTCCCCCTTTGAGATTTGGGTCCTCCACACACTGGGTTTGCAGGACATGGGTGGTAAGAGGAGGCGAGCAGGTCCCTGGGGAACTGGAGAACGGGAAAGCGCCAAAGCTGGGTATGTTTCCTATGGAATGGCACAAGGAGCACTTAAGACCCCGGTTCAGACAACAGAACCCATGCTTCAGGGTTGTCGTTGTCGTCGGAACCAGTGGCCGCTGTGTTGTTTGCACTCAGCTGGGATAACGGGCCGTGATGTGTTCACCATGAGTTAAACCGTGCGGACAGGCTGTGGTGTTGCTGGGTTGTGAACCGTGGCTTGCTGTTCGGACTGGTACCTTTTCGATGTGCCTTTGCAGCACAGGGCAGGGTGCGAACCTGTGCATATTTTGGATGGACTAAAGTCCAGGAAGGCCCAGCGTGCCCTGGGCAGCTGTGCTCGGAGGTGCGGGACGTTTTCCTGTAAACAGGCATAGGATTATGCCCTGAGCTTCCATGAAATTGGATAATTAGGAACGCAAGTTTCCCAGAGGGGCCTTTCTTGTTTCAGCTCTAATTTAAGAGATGTTATTATAATTAAGCTTATATCCTGATATGTTTATTCTCTCAAGGAATCCAATTGATTAATCTCTATACAAAGAACCCTGTTGGGTAGGGGAGGCTGAGAGGCAGTGAGTGGTCCTGAGCCACCCAGGGAGTTTCAGGGCCAGCCAGAACCCAGATCTCTTGAGTCCCAGTTCAACACTCTAACCATGGTGCCACATGGGTCTTGTTGTGTTTCCAGTTCCTATCATACCTAACCAGAATAGCTTATGCTCAGGAGTGCTAGGAACTGTAGTGGAAAACATTAGATTGTGAGAATGCTCGGATGGACACGATGCCCCCCCATGCCTATGACTACAGTTCCCATCATTTTATGGATTGAGATAATGGGAACTGTAGTCCAAAACATCTGGTTGGTACCAGTTTCTGGGTTGCCTAGAATGGGGAGCATGGCACTGGCCAGGCTCTTTGGACTACACCTCCCATCATGTCTGGCTGTTGTGGATGATGTGTAGCCGAACCCACCCAGCTAAGCAGACGTATGGGATGGGCAAGGTGTCTACCAATAGGAAAGGCAAGAGAACGAGGCTCCGGGGGAAGATCCGCCCAATCAAAAGACGGAGTCTCATTCGTGCATTTACATGAAAGGACTCCGCCCCCTCCGCCCTTAGACGAACTAGCATGAGATCTGCGCATGCGCGCGAGCGCTCTGTGCCTCCCCCTCCGTTACTATAGAAAGTCAAGCGGTGACTTTCGGTCTCGGTGCGCGAAGGTGCGTCGCTGAAAGCGTCCCCCGCTCGTGGAGCAACGGCTCCAGTGTAAAGCGCTTACCTTAAGTGCCGGAGCAGATGCGCATGAGTATCCGCGCGCGCCTCGGCCGTGCAACCACGTGCGCGCTGTCTAGTAACAAGACGCTGACGAAACGTCACCGAAACATGTTTGCCCATCTGACATGACTTGGTGGCTGTTGCCGAAATTACTCGAGTAAGTGCGCAAACAGTCCTTCCAGCTTATATTTTTTTTGTTCTGTTAGAAATCACGCTTGCTTTTTATGGCTATTCATTGCAACATCCTAATGATAAGGGCTTTTTTTTCCCCCTCATAGGCAAGTTTCGCCCTGGGGGACCATTTAATGATTTGATCTTGGGATGCAGAGAGAACAAACTATTTATTTGGGTTAGGCGTTAGTTATCTTTTTCAGCTGGATTCCCAACTCTAACCTCTCGTGTCGGATCACTAAGTGAGAGTAAAAAAGGCGACGGGGTGGGTGGGTAGATGATGCGCAAGTAAATCGGATTTCCCTCCTTTGCCCGCCTCCCCAAACAAGATCGTTCTATTCGTTTAGACTGACTTTGTGAAGTTGAAAGACTTGACACGTATGTAGCCCAGGTTCCCCCAGCCTGGTGTCTTCCAGATGCTGGGGACTTGAGCTCCCATCAGCCTGAGGCAGCCTGGCCAATGGTCCGGAGTGCTGGGAGCCAGCATAGACCCAGGCCCTAGCCTTCGCTCTGCCATGAAGCTCCCTTGGGTGACCTGGCGATGGTTGTGAGGATAAAACATGGAGCCGTGTCAGCCACTCCGGGTGCCTCCCAAGAGGGGCCAAGGGCAGGATATGCAACGCAGCCTTTGCAGCCTGTAACATCTGGCAGGGCCAACCGGGCGGGAACTTTCTCAGCCTTGACTGATGCGTGAATCATCGTTAATTGTGGTGCTGCTCCATTCGGCTGTTTTCGAAAGGGCTTTCAAACCTGTTTTTCGTAGTACAGCTTAAGCAATAGTTTTAATAGAGTTGCATGTAAAAATAAAAAATTACACCCTGGAGATTCTTAAGCATTTCATGGACGTCGACGGTGTGGTCCTCCGCAAGTTCAAATACAAAGAAGGCATTGGCTGGGCCGTGCTGGGAGGGGCAGGGATTTTATTCTATTAGATGGCTCGTATTCTGGCTATGTATCTATCCTAAGACTTGACCGTTTTTTATTTTTAGTTTAGCGCCGCAGTGCTGTTCATAAATTTCTCTATTGCCCTGTACGGTGTTGCATTTTGTAGCTTTCGATGAGTGCGAGCTGCGCGCAGAGTTTTGGCTGTCGGGCGGTTTAGAAATTAAACTGCGGGGTTTGCGGCGGGGGGCGGGCAGAGCGGGAGATGCAAAGATTGCTTGGGAGAAGGAAATCGTTTAAAGAAGGCTCCCTTTGCTTGTGAATTTATTTATTAAAACATTTATATGCCGCCCCATTCGACGAAGCCTCGGGGCGGCTCACAACAAAAAATAACAATAACAACAATAGAAAATATAAAATAACAATATAAAATAAATGACCATATAAAAGAATTAGCGTGGCTTCATAGAGCCGCAGTACTGCTCAGGAGAGAGACGAATGGACGTATAAAAAGTCAGGGACAAAAGAGTCCCTCGTCCCGGCCCCGGCGGTCGGCGGAACGGAACTCTCGGCTCGGCGGACTTGTTTCCCTGCCGGGCAGTTTTGGGCGGCGCACAGCGCCCGCCGTCCGAGGAGGCAGAGGGCTAGAGGTGTGGATGGCGCAGGCAGAAGTTCCCGGGAAGAGCGAAGGCTTCTCCAGAGCGTCCCTGCGTCGCCCCATGGTAAGACTTGGCGGGGCTCGACTTCCCTCCGCCCCGCTCTTCCCTCGGAGTGAGCGCTATGGACGGGGGAAGAGGCACCGTGCGGACGGCCACCGGCGGAGACGGGGGACTGGGCGAGGGGGATTAGCGCAGCCTCCAGTGCAGTAAATGCACCCGCGCGCACGGTCTGCTTTCGTACCTAGTCTGCTTTACACACGTGCGGCGTCTTGTCCTGCATTGTGTCCCACTCCCCGCCTCTTGCGAGGAGTGCAGCGTGGCTTCCACGGCTCCATGTTATCCTCACAACAGCCCTGTGGGGTAGGGTAGGCTGAGAGTGAGTGACTGGTCCAGAGTCACGCAGAGAGCTTCACAGCTGAGTGGGGACTGCAGCCCAGGGCTCCTGGGTCTTCGGTTCTGTGCTCTGACCCACGTGCAATGCTGGCTGCATTGTATATGTAATAAATCTATAGAGAGGGGCACATGGATATAATGTTGTTGTGTGTTGCAAGGAAACAAACCCGTAAAAAGGGAATTACAGTTTTTCAACACCTATTTTAACAAATCACTTGTTTTATGACACTTCTAATAAAAGGGGTATATTGTTGCATATATGGAAACACAACAGAAAGTGCTATTGCATAAGTTTCAGGAAAGGCAGACCGAATGTCCATGTATTTATCCATTTGTGGGATAAAGTCATTGTGTTTTGGTAGTACATGTGCCAGTTTTTGTATGTGGAGTGAAGGTGTCCATTGGGTTGGGGATGAGATGAGGATTTCTAAAAAATGGGCAATGGACTAGCTACTTTCCATTACAAAAATTGATAAAAATCTAAAGTGGATTCCTTTAATCACAGGGAAAAGCAAGGCGAACTGGTTTTTATTTTTAAATTATTTTAAGGTGCAGCCCTCTAGGTGTTTAGACAGGAAGACTGTTTTTCAGAGCCCAGCTTTCTCTTCTCCTGTCCTAACTCTCTGCTGCCAGATGTGTTTCACTACAGCTCCTAGCATCCCCTGGCCAGCATGGCTGTCTGTCTGTCTGTCTGGGGGTGGGTGCTTGGAGTCATTGTGCAACACATCTGGAGACTGCTAAGTTGGGTAAGACTGCTATGCTTTCTTCCCCCCCAGAAAAGGTACACCTGTTGAAATTATACTAGCTTTGCAGCCCTTAAAGGCATCACACGAAGGTACGGAGTAGCTTAATTATACTGAGTCAGCCTGCCACTGGTCCATCCAGATGGCCAGGATCATGGGCAGATGTCTTTCCCCATCTAGTTTTGTGAGATTCCTTTTTCCAACTGGAAAATGTAGGGGATCAGGCCTGGGGTGTGTGGGCCTGTTTCTCCTGGTGCTGTTTGCATCCAGGGGCCGGAGCTTGCTTTCGCTGAACCGGGGCAGCTCTGTGGCAGAGGAAGTTAGAAGAGACTTGCCGGATCAGGGCTTAGTCCATTTAGTCCAGCATTCTGGTCTTGCAACGGCCAGCGGGGTGCCCAAGGGATACCCATGAGCAAGGCTGGAGGGATGTGGCACAGTGACCGGGAGGGTTGGAGTCACAAGGACTTCTTTGAATTCAGCAAAGCTGTTTTTGAGGAAGGTGCGTTCAAATTAGGTGGCCTTGCTCCAGCTGGGTGCTCTTAGACTACAACTCCCATCATCTCCTGACTGGGTTGAAGCCTGTGTTTGGGGAATGATGGTCTTGTATTCAGGAAGCATCCCCTGCTATGTTTACAGATTTAAACATAGAAGCATAGAAAAAAGCAAGTTAGAAGGGGTCTCCTGGGCCATCTACTCTGACCCCTGATTCCAGCCGGCTCCACTCATGTAATCATTTTGTACGTAGTTTTGTGTTGTCTCTCTTCATTGTACTTCAAATCTCTTGGTGTTTCATCATCTTTGAACTGTGTTTTCTTTGGGCTGGATTTCTGTTATGGCTAGCTGCCTTGCTTTTGCCGGAAAGGTACCGCACAAATCAAACAGATAAATGTAATTCGGGAGCCCTCCTTAATGCTTACGTTCTGTGTTGAATTCTGTTTTCTGGAGCAATTCTGCTGATCAATTCTGCATTTATGGCTCTCAGTTTGCAAACTCCAGCTTGCCTCTTTCCCCCCGGCTTGTGTGGTTGTTCTCTGCCAGCCCCCGATGTCTGGGGCACCTCCTCAGTTGGCATCAAGTCAGGCCTTTTTCTCCAGTCCCTTTCCCCCTGGCCTTCCAAGGCCAACCGCTTCCCATGGTGCTCTAGGGAGTGTCCTCCTCTCATTTCCGTCAGAGAGGGGGAGGATTTCAGTAAAAGGGGTTGGGCACGTCGCTTTTCCCTGGAGGATTTCCACCACTGTGCCATCTCCTCCTCCTTTTTCCAGATCCTCTACTGACACCTGGTTTTGCAGGAGTGCTCTAAACCATGGAAACCAAAGAAGAGGTGGAGAAGATCCGCATCGTGGCCGAGAACCACCATGCTGGCGAGGCAGGAGGCGAGGGGGCTGGCCTGCTGGGGCCCCCAAGGGCTCTGCCCAGTTCCTGGCAGCACAAATGCGCCTCGTACGTCCTGGCTCTCCGTCCATGGAGCTTCAGCGCCTCCCTCACCCCCGTGGCCCTGGGCAGCGCCCTCGCCTACCGCTCCCAGGGCACCTTGGACCCCGGCCTCCTGCTGGGCAGCGCCGTGACCGTCCTGGCAGTCCATGGCGCGGGGAACCTGGTCAATACCTACTATGACTTCTCCAAGGGCATTGACCACAAGAAGAGCGATGACCGGACGTTGGTCGACCAGATCTTGGAGCCCCAAGATGTTGTGAGGTTTGGGGTCGTCCTGTACACCTTGGGGTGCCTCTCCACCGCCTGCCTCTACTGTCTCTCCACCCTCAGGTTGGAGCACCTGGCCTTGATCTACTTCGGAGGACTGTCCAGCTCCTTCCTTTATACCGGAGGTAAGGCTGGCCGCGCATACGCCTGCTTGTTGGCAGCCCCGGGAGCTGCCTTAGGTCGAGCTGCCCCTCGGCTCAGCCAGCCCAGCAGAGTCGACACGGACAGGCAGCGGGAGCAGCTGCTCAGGGTGGGAATGCTCCCTCGCCCAACCTGGAGAAGTCGGGTCCCAGGCTGGGGCCTGTGTGCAGAGCAGCCGCTTTGGTGCTGGGGGCAGTCTGCCCCCCTCCTTGACATAGAAATCCAGTCCCTCTCACCGTGAGTGGTGGCCTTTTGTGGCGTGCCGGGAATCCCTCTTCTGCGTGGGTGGGGATGGCACGGGTGGCTTTTACGGGGAGGCTTCTCAATCCGGCCAGGCTGCTTGTCCAGTCACCGGCCTGCTCAAAGGTCCCGCAAGGCCATTGCTGCGTTAAAGTTCCTCAGTCCAAATTCTGTGCCGCCTTCGATGATCTCTATAAAAGGACCCCCAAGAAGCAGGAGGAAGTCACTGCCCTCATGTCCTCCTTGTGGATTTGCCGCCGGGGCTCCTGCATATGAGACCATCAGAGGCTGCTAGTCCTCATGGCTCCATGCTGCCTCTGGTGTCAGAGGTCGTGTGCCTGTCTGCACCAGTGGCTGGGAATGGGAATAAGAGGCGGTACAGTTTTTTCTGCTGTGAAAGCACAGCAGAGCAATGAATGCCAGTTTGGAGGAGGAGGAGGATTCCAGACACCAGGAGTTCTGTGCAGGAAAGAATGGCAGGATAGAAATGTAATAAAAGAAATTAAAGAGCCGGGAAAGCCCACCCTGCACTGGGGGAGTAGGATCCAAATGCAGCGGAAGCGCTGCCGCTTTCCCTTCTCCTGATGTCCTCAGCAGCCGGGAGCCATCGCCAGCCCTGCAGTGTTGTCCAGTGTGGACCTAAAGAGCCTACAGCTTTTTCCAGCCGGGCTGGGCGCTGACAGCCTGTTTCCTGTGCTTCGGCACCCGGCCCTTGGGCTCAGCTTCCGTGGCTGCCCCTGCCTCCGGCTTGCAATCTAAATATTGGACCATCAGGAACACAGAAGTAGGAACAATTGTGTCAGTTTCCCCCCACCCTCCACCTTTTCCTCTGAAGCTCCTAAGGAAATGCCATTCCATTTTATCCTCACCACAACCCTGCATGGTAGGGCTGGCTGAGAATCCATGTCGGGTCCCAATCCCTGGGCGAGCTGCGGGAGGACTTAAACCCGGAGCTTCCCAGTCCCAGCCTAACATTGTAACCACTGCACCACCGTGTTGGGTTTCATTTCCCATCATCCCCACCCCTTGGGCCATGCTGGGACCGGCCCAAAGTCACACACAGAACACAGTCGAGTCGAGGTTTGAACCCGGGTCTCCCCAGGACAGCACCCCAGCCCCCTGTGTGACCTCACCCTTTGTATTTATTTGCGTATCTTCCGGATATCCTGCCTCGTTTCCTGTTAGAATCCCAGGGTGCCTTGCACCCTCCTCTGTTCCTTCCTCGCCACGACCGACCGACCGGGCGAAGCGGGCTGGACGAGTCCCGGCCTGTGCCTGACAGGCTCTCTCTCCTCTCTGCGCTTGCCCTAGGCATCGGCTTCAAGTACGTGGCCCTGGGGGACGTGGTCATCCTCATCACCTTCGGGCCGCTGGCGGTGATGTTCGCCTACGCCGTGCAGGTGGGCCAGCTGTCCCCCTCGCCCCTGCTCTACGCCGTCCCCCTCGCCCTCAGCACCGAGGCCATCCTGCACAGCAACAACACCCGGGACATGGAGTCGGATCGGCGGGCCGGCATTGTCACCCTGGCCATCCTCCTTGGGCCCACGCTCTCCTACGTGCTCTACAACACCCTCCTCTTCCTCCCGTACCTGATCTTCTGCGTCTTGGCCACCCGCTACACCATCAGCATGGCCCTGCCCTTGCTCACACTCCCCATGGCCTTCTCCTTGGAGAGGCAGTTCCGGAGCCAGTCCTTCGTCAAAATCCCCCAGAGGACTGCCAAGCTCAACCTCCTCCTGGGACTCTTCTACGTGTTTGCCATCCTCCTGGCTCCCCCGGGCAGCCTCCCCAAGCTGTAGGGCCCCCTGGGTCTCGGGGAAAGCCTTGCCCACGGTGGCCAATGGGGCAATGTCTGCGATCCTGCCAGATCTGGGAGCGACGGGTTGGTTTCTGGCTCCTCGTCGAGAGAGTTGCTGGAGACTCGGTGGTGATCCTTACGGTTTGGGTGACTCAGTCATTTTGTACCTGCACCCTTTGTAAAGCGTCTCACACTTTCTCTTTCAAAAGTAGGGGGGGAAGGATATTTATAAAGCTTCACTTGCAAAAGTTTTGCCTGTATTTCTTCCCCACGTTGGCTTAAAAGAGGAGTATGGGACCTGGGAACGAGGCTGCCCCCCCCCCGGGCTTCTCCAGAGGGACATGCGTTGCCCCCCAAAATCCTTTGCTGGTTTCCCAGCCCTTGTGCATTTTTCTGTCCCGTTCAGAAGGTTTCTAATGCCTCTTCTAAGGCAGAGTTAAAGACAGTAGGAGCCTCAAGATACGGCATGCTGGCTTGGCTTGGCTTGGCTTAGTTTTTTCTTGCCCAGCACTGCAAAGTGGTCTCTGAGTGTTTCCCTGAAGTTGAATTTGGCCCACTTTAAGAAATTATTTATTTATTTATTTATTTTTCCATTTATATCCTGCCTTTTTCCTACAAAGGGCTCAAGGCAGCTTACATTTTCCTCCTCCATCTTATCCCCGCAACAGCAACCCTGTGAGGTAGGTTGGGCCGAGAGTCTGACTGGCCCACAGTCACCCAGTTGGCTCCATGGCCGAGCGGGGACTCGAACCCGGATCGCCTGAGTCCCAGCCCCATGCTCTTAACCACGACACTAAACTGGCTCTAATTGCAATAGTCCTTTGATGCTTCAGGCCTTTTGCAGTCATAGTAATAGTAATAATAAGTTTTATAGTAATGATAATGAATTACTAATACTGCTTGAAAAGAACCTTACTGTGGAAGGCTAAGAACCACGGTTGTTGATGACACAGGGCTCAAATTCACCAGCTGTTCTAGGAAAAAGACGCACCGTCGCTGGCTTCCCAGGCTGAGCAGCAAGCAGACCTCCAGATGTTTGCCACCTTGCTGGGTGGCATGTGTCGTCATCGCACCTCCTGGCAGAGGCTTCTGGGGGTTGAAGTCCCAAGCAGTTGGAGATCCTCTGTCCAGGTGGGGCTCCCCCGGGCCTCCCCCGGAGGGAATTCGTCATGACTGACTGCAGAACAACACGGGTGGCCTTTGACTCATTTCTTCACTGGCAGATGGGAACTGTGCCAGCTCTGCTCTCGAGCTCGGCATTTGTCGCTGTGTCCTCTGCTGTGCTTCATCCGCAGCTGCCCCACCTTGGCCCCGGAGCCGCTCACAGGTGTGTGGTCACGTCGGCATCTCCCAGAGCCCTCGTGACACATCTTCAGCTTGCAGTGGAAGGGCTGGCGGGGCCACCGCTGGGCGAGAAAGGTCCCCTTCAGCCCAAATGCAGGGGGAGGGTGTTGGCCTGGGGCTCGGAGTCGTCGTCCTCACTTGGCCACACAGCTCAGCAAAGGACCTCGGGCTTCTCAGCTGAACTGGCCTCACCAGGTTGTTCTTGTGAGGACAGAAGGGAGATGAGGAGAGCTTTGTGAGGTCCCTCAAATTGCTGGAAAAAGGGGGATAGAAGCACAGTGTCATGGTAACAAGCAGTGTTTTACCTGTCAAGGGGGCTGGGCGAGGTCTGCTGAACATGGCGGCCTGAAGAAGGCCTCTCTTCCGGGCCCTGCCCTTCGCTCTTGCTTCACCGGCTGTATCTCGGCAGCAAACTCCCTCGGCTGCGACCTCAGGCATGCATCCCACGGTTCAGGGATGGGCACGGTGGCGACTCCTGCGACTTGCCTCCCGTCGAATCCTCGGCGCACACGGCGCAGGCTGCTCTTCTGACCCAACCCGGCCCTCTGGTTCGCAGCCTGGCCCGGCCGCGACGATCTGCGGCATCCTCGCGGGGTGGAATCAGGCAGGCGTGGAGCGGCAGGGAGGCCCGCCGTCCCTCGGGGCTGACTCTGCCTTCCTCCTCGGATGCACAGGGCGGCTCGGGGGGCCATCCCGGCGGTGGAGCATCTCCCAGACGGCTTCCATGACACACGAGGGAAGTTCGTCCTCGCTTCCCGTTCCTCACTGCGAACGAGCTTGTGGAACAGGTGTGCTGGCCAAGCAAGGAGACCTTTCTCATGTCTCTCCCACTGCTATCCAGGTTCTCCACATGGGACTTGTCCTCTTCCAGCTGGGAACCGGGGCCGTCACTGCAGCTCAGGCTTTCCTCGGCCTGGTGGCTGCCGGCTGTGGCGGAGAATAGCCCATCGTCCCCGGCCCGACGGAGCTGACAGCCCACACACGTGATGTGCTGCGGCACGTGGTGATTGGCCGGTGACACCGGGCCAGTCCCTGGCACGCCACCTTGTCTACCTCACAGGGCTGTTGTGCCGTCTAGAGGCCCCAGTCCGGCACACACTCTTCCAACCAGCAGGAGTTTGGCGGTTCCCCCCTTTTCCTTGTCCTAACAAAGCGGACAGGCCTTTCCCAAGGTTCAGTTAGCTGGAGCTTTCAGCTGTTGCAGGCGGGTATTTTCTGGCTCCCCCTAAAAGTTCCCCAAGGGCCAATTCCTTTGCAGGAAGGTTCAAAAATAAAAAGTGGTACAGTCCCTTCTCCCATCCCACCATGTGGTCACCTTTCTTCTGCTGAGGGTAATGTACCCTATTTTGGAAGGAGGTTTGGCAGGGGAGAAAAATCATCGCTGCTCCGCTGGAGAATCTGTTTCCACGTGCCCTGAAGATGGCAGTGTGTCCTTGCGAACTCTGCTTTGGACTCCAGAGCCGGTCTTTGTGATACCCTTTTTGCCAGATGCAAAGCACTCATCCTGCCCTGAAGATGGTGCTGGGTTTGATGCACCGTCTCTCCAGCCAGGAGCAGGGGCAGGAACGAATCCAGCCTGAAGCCCTGGATGGCCATTGCTGCCAGTCTGTGAAGCAGTGCTAGTCAGACCTGACCTGGAATACTGTGTCCAGTTCTGGGCACCAAGATTTAGGAAAGATGCAGGATAATTAAATTCAGGCTGGCCATCAGGAAAAGCTTCCTCACTGTCAGAGAAATACAACACTAGAACCAGCTGCCTGCAGAGGTGACGGGCTCTCCCACACTGGAGACATTAAAAAAGAAACTGGGACAGCCCTCTGAATGGGATGGTGTAACGTGGTGTCCTGCAACAGCAGGGGGCTGGACTAGATGGCCTTCATGGCCCCTTCCAACTCTTATATGATTCTATTGGCTGGATTGGACCAAGGGCTGGACTCAGTGAAGCACTTGCATATACACCTGGGTAATGCAAGCCTTTATTCAGAGGCACGAGGCTCGGGAGCTCAGGCTCTGTGGAATTACTGCTTTGCATGCAAAGGCCCCAGGTTCTCCGAGCAGAGCTGGACAAGACCTGCTCCCAAGCCCAGAAAGCCGCTGAAGCCTGGAGAAGGACAGTGTTGGGCATGGAAATGACTCCTCAGCCCGTGCGAATGGGCCCCATCCGGCCCTTCCGGACCTGCAGATGATGCCACGGCCACAGGGGACCTGATGCAGAAGGCCGTCTGGCGGGGGCTTGCAGGAGCGGCGTTCGGCCTCCCAGGCAAGGGGCAGCCTATCCAAGACGTGGTCTTCAAGAGGGGCCACTGCGGCTGCCTTTTGTGCCATGAACATGTCGCAGAGGGTGGCGCCTGCGGAAATGCATAAGCTGCCCCTTATTTCTAACTCCCCACTCCCTGGGGCAGAATCGTTCTCACAGAGCAATGGGCAGTCCTAAGAGCTGGTCTAAGAACCCCAAGTCACCCATTTTTAAAATGCATAATGTCTCTCAAAACGGGCCCTATGAATTCATCCCAAGCCCCGCAAGGAATGAAAAGCAATGCAGGACCGAAAAAGCCCGTGGGGTGGAGGCTGCCGCCCACCTAAGGGGAAAAAAAAATAATAATAATAAAAAAAAACCAAGCTGGATTTCTAGGACTGATGCCACAATACCACCCTGGTGTTCTGCTTGGCTGCGCCTCTTGGCCTCGGAGATGAGCCACCCCTTCCTGCTGGCCTCCGTTCGTCATCTCCTTCGTTAAGGGGCTAATCTTGCCAGGGCAGGAGGAAGCACAGGGCATCAGCTGCACGTGGCACTGTAGACTCGTCGCCAGGCTATAATGGTGGGGAAATTGCGTATAATTGAAAAGCCTTAATAACATTAGCTTAATGAGGAGGACTGGTGGCTCAAGAAGATAAGAGGGCTAGATTGCCGCCCTCTTCTCCCTGGGAAGGAAAAGAATGCAGGTTTTGCGAGCTGCAGGAAGTTACGGAGCTCGGTACCTCGTCTGGCTGAGGATGGGAGCAAAGAGGAGCTTTGGAGCATACGGAACCGTTCTGTCGGGTCCCAGCCAGGATCAGAACTGACCCATCTTCCTGTCTTGACTCTCTAGGAGGAGGTACAGTATCACACAGGTGTTCAGCTTGGAAGCCTCTGTACACCCTGCTGGCACATTTTCAGATTCTTTTCTATGAGGACTAGTAACATGTTTTCTTTTTCTTTCCCCCCAAAGAAACAAATGTGCAAAGTACCTGGGTATCCAGGTCCTGTGCTCTTTCCAAGGTTGTGGAATAAGGAATCACAGAAAACTAAGTCTTCAGATGTGGGATTAGGGCGAAGTAGGGTTACAATTTTGGCAAACTTGTTCGACATCCCAGAAGCTTCGTGCATGGCTAGGAGATGGGATTGGTGAGTGTTGGGTGGCAAACAGGCAAATGCCTGTCTTTAACCTGTCATTTCAGTGGGCTTATATACACAGGAAAATTGCGGGGGGGGGGGGGTACGGGGACCCAAGGCCAATCCAGAGCTCTGGAGGGAACCACCTTCATATTTTTCTTCTTCCTTCCCCATTGCTTTTCCTTGTGTGTTGCATCTTTTCAGGTGGTATGCCTATTGGCGGAGGCAGTCTTGCTTGATGGTTTTAAGCCATTCCGGAAAAACAAGCCCACCTGAGTTAGGCCATAATAGGACCCAATGTTCAGCTCCCTCTTCTTCCCTTAAACCAAATGGTTTCTTTAGCCTCGGACGCTCTCCGTGTACAGGACCCCACAGGGTTGGTCTAGAAATGAGGTGGCCTTCACCTGTGTCCTTGCCTGGAGATCCCTTTCTCCTTTCTCACCTTTCTCTCACTATGAAATGTATTCCTCAATGAGACAAATTGCTGTGCCAGCTTTCAGGAGTTTGTGTTTCATTTTAAGGTAGGACCAA